GTTCTTGGTCTGGTGGAAGAGGGAGCCTGTGTTCTTGGTCTGGGGGAGAGGGACCATATGTTCTTGGTCTAGGGGGAGAGGGACCCTGTGTTCTTGGTCTGGGGGAGAGGGGCCCTGTGTTCTTGATCTGGTGGGAGAGGGGCTCTGTGTTCTTAGACTGGGGAGCGGGGTCCTGTCTTCTTGGTCTGGGGGAGAGGGACCCTGTGTTCTTGGTATGGGGGAGAGGGGCCCTGTGTTCTTGATCTGGTGGGAGAGGGGCTCTGTGTTCTTAGACTGGGGAGAGGGGTCCTGTCTTCTTGGTCTGGGGGAAAGGGACCCTGTGTTCTTGGTCTGGAGGAGAGGGGCTCTGTGTTCTTTGTCTGGGGGAGAGGGGCTCTGTGTTCTTTCTGGGGGGAGTAGGGCCCTGAGTTCCTGGTCTGGGGGAGAGGGGCCCTGTGTTCTTGGTCTGGTGGAGAGGGACCCTGTGTTCTTGGTATGGGGGGAGAGGGGCCCTGTGTTCTTGGTCTGGGGGAGAGGGACCCTGTGTTCTTGGTCAGAGGGAGAGGGGCCCTGTGTTCTTTGTCTGGGGGAGAGGGGCTCTGTGTTCTTTCTGGGGGGAGTAGGGCCCTGAGTTCCTGGTCTGGGGGAGAAGGGCCCTGTGTTCTTGGTCTGGTGGAGAGGGACCCTGTGTTCTTGGTCAGGGTGGAGAGGGGCCCCGTGTTCTTGGTCAGGGGGAGAGGGGCCCTGTGTTCTTTGTCTGGGATGAGAGGGGCCCTGTGTTCTTGGTCTAGGGGGAGAGGGACCCTGTGTTCTTGGTCAGGGTGGAGAGGGACCCTGTGTTCTTGGTGTGGGGGAGAGGGGCCCCGTGTTCTTGGTCAGAGGGAGAGGGGCCCTGTGTTCTTTGTCTGGGGGAGAGGGGCTCTGTGTTCTTTCTGGGGGTGAAGGGCCCTGAGTTCCTTGTCTGGGGGAGAGGGGCCCTGTGTTCTTTGTCTGGGATGAGAGGGGCCCTGTGTTCTTGTTCTGGGATGGAGGGGCCCCATGTTCTTGGCTGCATCTGTCTGGAGTGGATTCTCCCCTCACTGAGCTGGGAGGAGGGTGAAGGGAGGGATCCGTCTTGGTTCAAATACCACAGACTCTCACTTTTCTTACCAAATTTTCATAAATGTTTTTGACTAGATGTTTCTCCGTTTTCTCTTCTCTCTTTGAACCACTTGCAGAAGCTTTCAATTTTTTTTACTGGTTTTCCTCAGCTTCATGGAGGGACAGGCCAGTGGAGCCGTTCATGCTGATCATGCCAGATGTTGATCTCTGAAGGCTGAGGTTTGGGTCTTTTTTTTCTTCTCACTGTTATATGCACAAAACCTTACTTGGAGCTGGGCACAGAATAGAGACTCAAGAAATAGTTCTGAATGAGTGAGCCGCAGAAGACAACTTGATTCTTTCTCTCCACTCTCTTGAAGTTAACCCCTCCCTCCCCTCTCAGGATAAATTGTCAGGGAGCTTCCTCTGATGTTTTGGTCAATATCTGACAGTAAACAGTCCCCCCTCCGCCTCTGTGGAGTGTTCAAGGGTCTATCCCAGTCTAGTGGTTACAGAGCTCCAATTTAACGCTGAAACTGCGCTTTCCTCGAGCCCTCCTGCCCCAGCCGGGGGCCTGGACGGGAGGTCCTGGTCGGTTTCCTCTCTCTGTCCTCACCCAGTCTCAAGCTGCCATTTCTGGCTGTCACCCCCTTAGGATCAGCCCCGGGGGATGGGGGTGTTTTGGTTCCTGTGGCTGCTCTAACAAGTCACCACAGGCTTTAGTGGCTTTCACAAAACAAGGTTGTTCTCTACAGTTTGGGAGGCCAGAAGTCCAAAATCAGGCTCAATGGGCTGAAGTCAAGGCATCGGCAGGGCTGGCTCCTTCTGGAGCCTCCACGGGAGACCGGGCCCTGGCCTCTTCCAACTTGTGGAGCTGCGTTCCTCGCGCCCCTTGGCTCATGGCCCTTCCTCCGTCTTCACAGCCAGCAGCGTAGCATCCGCTTCAGTCACCTTCCCCGCTTCCTCAGCGTGGAATCTCCCTCTGCCTGCCTCTCACAGGACACTTGAGATCACATTTCGGGCCCATAACCCAGGACCATCTCCCCATCTCAAGATCCTTAAGTTGATCACATCTGCAAAGTCCCTCTGTCCTACAAGGGAATGTCCGCGGGTTCAGGGGATTGGGATCTGGATGTCTTTGGGCCATCCTGCCACAGGGGATTAGGGTCTAAGGACTGAGAAATCTTACGTGGCTGGTTCTGCCGTGGCCTGGCGTGGCCAGTGGCCAATACTCAGAAAGTTTTTTCCTCCCGTGTTCAGCTTTTGAGGGACCTCCCATGGGGACGCCAGCTGCAGCTCCCATGATGAGGCTTGATGCTCTCCCAGCTGCCAGCTCTGATGCCACCTCATTCTAGGCCCCAGCATCCACCCTCACTTGGGGTGCCTGAACCCCCCAAGGAGTCCTCTCAGTCAAGTCCCATTTGTGGGGTCCTGTTTGGTCTCTGGGCACTGGGTGCATTTACCCTCCATTTACCCTCACCTCCATTTGCTTCTCACCCCCATATGGCTCTCGGCTCGCTGTGTGGCAGCAGCCGGGCTCGGGGCTGAGGCCATGTGGCACGGGGGTTATGGATGGGCCTGAGTTCAGGTCTGCCATGGGTTGAACCCCAGCCCTGCCACTTACTAGCTGTAGGCCCTTGGGAGAGCTACTCACCTTTTTGTGTGTTACTTGGCACAGAATAGGAACTTTGAAAAACAAAATAAAACAGCCGCCTGGCCCCCAAGCCCCAGGGGACACATGCTCGGCTTCATGAGGGGGACCCTCCCCACTCTTGCCTCCAGGCACCTCAGATTTGGGGTGGGGGTGGATCCCAACCCCCGTCACCTCGGACTGCACCATTCTGAAGGTTTGAAACCTCAGCTGAAACTGAGCGGAAGGAGGTGCCTTATAACATCCTGTCACCCTGGGGTCTGGGGCAGGCGGAAGACAGGGAGGGGCTGGGAGGGGAGATGGCGGGGGCTCTGGGATGAGGCCGAGTGAGGCCTGGGCAGCTATACTGCCGGTCACCTTGGGGCTCCGGGGTGGGCAACGGCTTCTGCCATCTTCCTCTTCTTTCCCCTCGGCTTTTTTTTTTCCCCTAAACTAAACCTTTTATTTCGAGATAACTGTAGATTCACATATATCTTATCAACTTTTTATATAGGACAATTTCAAAGCTTCCAAAAAGCTGTAAGAATGGCACAATGACACCTATATACCCCACACCTGCATTCACCAATTCCCATCTGATTGAGTTCATGGTTTTTAATCTGCTATCTGTAACTAGATAGACACACATAGAAATATGGAGGTACTCTGCCCACTAGGAAATGCATTTCTAAACACTCACTATATATGTATATAAACTCATTGTACGAGTTTACATACAAACATATACACACATTTTTTCCTTAGCTCTGAGTGCACAGAAGGTCTAGAAGCTATGACGACTCCCTAGTTATAAGCACACCTAACACCAGCTTAATCCTGGTTTCTAAACGCCATCCTCCACTAAAAATACCATCCTCCGTCTCTCAGAGATGGCTGATTGCAGGGCTGGGGCAGCCTGGATGAGCCTGGAACGCGTTGTCAGGAAGTTAGGAAATGCTCAGAGAATGATGGGGACTTGTCAAAAGGACAAGGAAGCAGCTTAAAGGGGTCCCGCTGGCCAAATCTGGGACAATTTGAGCATCAAAAATAAATAATGATAGTAATGGATTGTAATCTGTTAACTAAAACATGAAAGCATGGTATAACCATATGGATATAAATGAAGGAGGAAAAACTTGTTTTACTTTTTTACTTTTTACCCATCTGACTTCCCACTGCTCCGTCCAATTCCCATCCAGCACAGGGTTCTTCCTCGCCCTCCCTTTCTGGGTTTGTGGCTCCTTTCTTTCCTGAAGAGAACCATGGTTCCAAACAATGTGGCTGTATTTATCCACGGATGCTCTTTCTCACGACGTTCACACAATTGTTTCAGAATTGCTGCACTGATACCACTGCCCATAACAAACCTACTAAGGAAAGGTCAAAATCTATTTACAGTTCTTTTTTTTTTTTTTTTTTTTTTTTTTTTTTAAAGATTTATTTATTTATTTTTCCCCCCAAAGCCCCAGTAGATAGTTGTATGTCACAGCTGCACATCCTTCTAGTTGCTGTATGTGGGACGCGGCCTCAGCATAGCCGGAGAAGTGGTGTGTCGGTGCGCGCCCGGGATCCGAACCCGGGCCGCCAGCAGCGGAGTGCGAGCACTTAACCGCTAAGCCACGGGGCCGGCCCAACAGTTCTTTTTAACCTTAGGATCTCCATCGCACTGAAGGTGCCCAGTGTTCAAACCAGAAGAGGCACCTTCTCAGCTGGGCTTTGATGGGTGAATAGGAGTCTCCTGGGAAGGAAAGGAGAAGAGTGCACCAGGCAGAGGGACACGTACAAAAGGCTGGGGAATGACCTGAAAGTGTGGTGCGTCCTCCTGCTGAGGCGGGAGTCCAGTGTTTATTTAGAGAGAAGAAGGAGAGGCATGTGGTGGGGGGTGGGGGAGTGGCTTGGAAGGGTCTTGAATGTCAGGCAAGGGGCTTGGGGTTGATGTAGCAGGCGCTGGGAGTCATGAGAGGCACCAGAGTTTGATAAATGTGGAGGACAGATTGGGAAGTTGGTAGAGGTGGCTGGGACCATGAGACACAAGGCCTGAGCTGCCAGGACGGCTTTGAGCTCTCCTCCTCTGGAGACCTCAGGTTTATCATCTATGACACCAGTGCAAGAGGGGGACCCACTCCCAGGGCTGCCTGGGGACTCCCCAAGGGCTGTGACTGGCCCTGGGGTCTGAGGCAGGGGCTGGCTGCCTCCCTGTGCTGTGACATCTCTGCTTCCTGTTTCTCCCCCATCAGCCGCAGTTTCAGTCTCTGCTTCAAAAGAACAAACACGCTCTCACAACAGAGGAAGACAGTCCTCGACTGCAGAGGAAGCAGGAAGCGCCAGCCCTGCTCTGAGCCCAGCTGCCAGGCTCGGGGACGGCGGGATGGAGTCTGTGGCCCTGTACAGCTTCCAGGCCACGGAGAGCGATGAGCTGGCCTTCAACAAGGGGGACACACTCAAGGTAGGATGGCCGGAGTGGGCTGAGTTGGCCCCACGTGGGATGGGGGAGGTTAAGAACCAGGGGCGCAGGACAGCCCTCAGGGTCCAGTCTCTGGAGCAGGACAGGCCAGCTTCTCCAGCTACGGGCTATGTGATTCCGGACAAGCCACCTCGTCCCTTTGAGCCTCAGTTTCCCCATCTAGGAAATGGGGAGATGGTTAATGATCCCTCCTTTGGGGCTGTTGGGAGGATTCAAGGAGACGTTAGCATAGTGCCTGGCAGGAGTTAGTTCGACACCCAGTTTTCTAGGAAAGAATTTGAAAAGACAGTTGGAGAGAGAGAGAGAGAGAAGGAGAGGGAGAGAGGGAGGGAAAAGGTCTTAAGAAAGAATTAAGTACACACACTAACCCATTGGGGCTAAAATAACTGTGATTTAAGTGTGAAGAATGAGCTTCCCAGCAGTGTGGAGAAAAGGGAAAGTAGTCATATTATAGCCCATTTCTCCTTGTCTGGGCCCTTTTTGATGAACATCGCAGCCTTCCAAGGCAGTCTGGGCAGATGGGATTGTGGGATCTCTCTCTGGAAATGTTCTTGCTTACAAGTTTGCATATAAAAGCAGAGCACTGCCCCCACCCCCGGCCTCAGTCTCTGCACCAGAGCAGTGGGCATTAGACTGATGTCCTTCCATTCTGAGCCCTGAGCCCCATGCTTGGCCCCAAGCTTCAGTCACAAGAAGGGACAGAAACTCGCATTTGCTGACACCCTACTGTAGCCAAGTCCCGAGCTCAGCAATGCACGCCAGCGTCCCATTTAAGCTGCTGAGATGGGGAGGTTTTGCACCCTCATTGCACAGGTGACTAAACTGAGGCACAGGGAGGTGACACAACTTGCTTGGTATGAGATCAAATTTGAACCTACATCCTTTGACTCTGGAACCTGTGTTCTGTCCCCCATGAGACTGGATAGGCTGGGCTGGGGGTGGAGGGTTGACGTTCCCCGAGAGCAACCACGTCCCTTGAGGAGCTCGCCGATTCTCCATGCCAGGGTGCCGGCACCTGGGTCCCCTGGAGCTGCTGGCTGGGCCCCCTGGACACGTGGCCAGCTGGGAACGGGGGCAGGCTCAGCACCAGCGCCGTCTAGCCAGGACACAAGACTGTGAGATCCAGGTCTGGTTTAGAGGCCGCGTCTACCGGTCTGAGAGCAGTGTGAGGTCTCTAGACCCAGAAGGGAGGCTTGAGAGGGAGGGTGACAGTGGGGAAAGAGGACCGGGGTGGCGATGGGCTCCAGCTGAGGCTCAGAGCGGTCAACAGGGGTGGACAGGGTGGATCAGAGGGGGACCCAAGGCAACTGTCGCAAAGACCACGACATCCCACTTCCCTCCCCACCTTCTGTGCACACCTGCCCCGAGATGAGTCAAGTTTCCCCCAACCTCTGCGAAAGCGTGGGCCGACTCCCGGGGTGTTTCTTTGAACAGAGGTGCTGGCTGCTAAGGAAGGAGGGGGTTCCCGCGGGGGTTCCTCTGACTGTGCCAGAGCCCAAGACGTAGAGCCGTGCCACAGCGAGCTCTCAGTCAGACGGGGCGTGTCAGAGGAATGGAGGAGGACTAAATGTGAGCTGAACGGAGGCATCCTCCCAGCGGGACTTGGACCTCGTGTCCATGGAGACCAAGGAGGGGGCCTTTCAAGCTCAAAGAACGATGGAGGAATGATGGGCAGCAGGAGGAGCTGCCTTTTCCTTCATTCATTCAACAAACACTAGTCGAGCTATTGAGCACCTACTCTGTGCCCGGCATTGTCCTAAGTGCTAAGGATACAATGAGCGAAGTCCCTGCCCTCCTGGAGCTGGTGTTCCAGAGGCTAAGTGACATCAGGAGGTGACAAATGGACTGAAGAAATCAACAGAGGGAGATGGATGCAGAGTGACGGCCGCGGGAGGGGCAGTGGGACAGCTTCGGGTGGGCTGGTCAGGGGTCTCTCAAAAGAGGTGACAGCTGAGCTGAGACCTGAAGAATGAGCGGGAACCAGCCGTGCAAAGAGCCGGGGGAAGAGAGTGCCAGGCTAGGGGGAACAGCTGGTGCAGAGGCCCCGAGACAACACCGTATTAGTATGTTTGCAGAGCCGAAAGGCAGTCTGTGGCTGAAGGGCAGCGAGCGAGAAGGGTAGGGATGAGTTTGGGAGGTAGGCAGAAGTCAGGGCCTGTGATGGATTTCGTTCTAAATGTGAGTTGTACTCACTGAAGGGTTTTCAGCAGGGAAAGGATTTGATCCAGTTTGTTTTGAAAAGACAACAGAGGGAAGGGGAGTGGACGCAGAGAGCGGCTGTTGCAGTCTATTAGCTAGAAGTGAGGGTGGCTTAAACTAAGACAACACACACGACAAAAATGACAAAATATTGATGGCCTTGATACGTAAAGAGCTCTTATAAATCAACAAGAAAATCACAAACAGCATAATAAAACAATGGACAAAGGATATGTGTAGGAAAATTGCCAAAGAAGAAGGCAAGCAAGTAAGTGCCCAATTTCACCACTGACAAAAGATTTGCAACTTAAAGCAAGTAACTGTTTTCCATTTGCCAGATCAGCAAAAGTTTATTGTAAAAAGAATCTCCTAAGTTGCTGAGGGTGTGGGAGAATGCTCACTTTTACGTGTGGGTGGTGGACAGGTAAAGTGACACAATCATTTTGAAGAGCTTTAAAAATACTTGTGCCCTGTGACCCAGAAATTCTGCCTCTGGGAAACTGAGATGTAATCAGAGATGTTTGTGCATTGTTCCATGCAGGGCTCAGGGAGCACTCAGCGTGTCCCCGGTCCCGATCTAAGCACTGGCGATTCGGCAGAGAGAAAACAGACACAGTCTCTGCTCAGGCAGCTGACGTTCTGGTGGCAGATGCGGGCCACAAACCAGATAAACAAGTAAAATACAGCCTGTCAAATGGAGCCAGAGATGGAGGAGGATGAAGCGGGCGAGGGTTGGGTTGAGAGAGGTGGTCGGTGAGGGGTTGCAGTGATGTAGACTCAACGTAGGCCCCCTGCGCAGTGATGGGACAAACTACCATAGAGCCCTACAAATGCTGTTTGGGGAGGGTATTTAATGACATAAAAATGCTCACGATGCAACGTTAAGTGACAAAAAAGCAGAATGCAAACATATATAGACACAGAGGCAACTCCACGCAGATGATCGGCAGTTATCGATTGTGCGGAGGGGAAACTGACATTCATGCGCTGGATTCGTGCCTAGAAAACAGACTCGGAAGACTGTCCTGAGAAGCTAGCAGCTGTCGGTTCTGGGGAGCGGTCCTGAGCGATTTATGTTTCCTTCTTCACTCCTGCTGCCCCTCCCAGATGCTCTATGACAAGCAAGTCGTCCTCACAGGGCCGGACTCGTGGCGGGGCCATTCTCACGGCTGTGCGGGTGCAGGGTCCAATCTTGCCTTTATTTCAGATGTTCATGGATTTTTTTGCATTAATTTTTAAATAGATGTTATTTCTTAGAACAGTTTAGATTTACAGAAAAATCAAGACGATGGTACAGAGGGGTTCCCGTCTGCGCACCCACAGCTCTCCCTGTTGGTAACATTTTAGGTTATTAGCACAGTACATTTGTTACATTCATGGAGCCATATCGATACATTATTATTACCGAATGACCCTATTCAGAGTTTCTGCATTAATTTTGATTTTAACACATTGCCTTAAAATAGTATTTATCTTGATTCTCGAGTTTTTTGCAGCTCCCTTAAATTTTGTGCCCGAGGCACCTCACCTGCCTCACGCTAGCCCGGGGCTGCTTTCTGTGACGGCAAAAACATGGCTGCAATGTTGCATGGTCCCCTCTTCCTCTCGCAGGCCAGGGCCGCAGTGTAAGGGGCTGGTGGCCGGCTCTTTCCAGGCAGCGCTGGGTGGGGCCAAGCTCTACGGCCCGTCCGTTCACTCGTCCAACGAGCATTTCCTGAGCCCCCTCGGAGGGCCAGACCCAGTCCCAGCAGCACCCCAGACAGACCCGGAGACCGAGGGAACAAATCTGAGTTCAGGGCTTAGATGACAACTCAGTGGCCCCGGGACCCACTCTGGACAAATGTCACTTCCCTGGAACAAAGCCCCCTTCCCTGACGGCCGGGCACTCCTGGGTGCACAGTACCCTGCTGCTCCCAGCTGGAGGAGGGATGTGGAGGGTGACTTCACCCCATCTCTCCATGGACAGCCTGGCCCCCAAGACCCAGACTTGGGGAGCCCACAGCCTCCTTGGAATCTGCACGGGGAAGGCTGATGGCACCTCAGACCCGACACAGCCAACCTGGAACTCGCCCCACCTGCTCCCCAAAGCTGCTGACGGCGGCCGGCCCACGAGCACTCAGGTCCAAACCCTCCGAGACGTCTCAGCCACTCGCCCTCCGTCTCCTGTGCAGCCTGTTGCTCAGTGCTGTCAGCGGCTCTGCCAAAACCGACCCCGAATTTGACAGCTTCTCAGCTGCCCCCAGTCTAGGCCTCCATCATGGCTCATCTTGGCTGGTGCAGCAACACCTCCCTGCCCCCCACCTTTGCTCCCAGCCCCTGTCCACACAGCAGCCATAACTCAGAGCCTGACCCTCCCCCAATCACATTCCAATGGCTTCTCTTGGTTTTAAAAATCAAATCTGAACAGCTTCTCCTGGCATACAAGACCTACCTGCTCTCGCCCTGCCCACCTCTCCCCGTTCATGTCACAACACTGCCCCTCCCGCCTCAAATCCAGACACCCTGGCATCCTCTCTGTTCCGGGGACAGAGCTTGCTCCCACCTCAGGACCTTTGCACTAGCTGTTCCCTCTGCCTTGGACACTGTTCCCCACATCTTCTCATGTCTGGTTCCTTCCTGTAATTCAGGACTCAACTCACATGTCACCTCCTCAGCAAGGCCTTTCTCGACCACCCGATCTGCCCCCTGTTAACAATCTGCCCCCCCCAACCAGCCATCCTCCATCCATGTCATCCTGATGGACATTTTCAGAGCACTTACCACCACATTAAGTTACCCAGTTTACTTGATTCCTTCCTTGTTGATTGTCTGCCTCTGCCCACTAGAACGTAGGCTCCTTGTTCCTGCTGTGTTGCAGGGCACCAGCGAGTGCTCAGGAAATAGCTGCTGAGCGAGTGCACTGCTCAGTGAACAGAGCAGGACGGCAGCCTGGGGGAGGGCAGTGCAGGAGCAAAGGCCCAGGGGCAGCCGAGGTGTGAGTCCCAGTAGGGAGGAGCAGGTCTCTCCTTCTTGGGGTTCTGTGTCTCAGAGGGCCCAGGGCTTTTGAACAGTGTTAACAGTTGATCAGAATTCAGCTGATATAACCAGTGAGAACACTTCTGGGTCCTCAGAGTGGAGATGACAGGAACACAAACCAGAATAAAACAAAAGAGGGGTAGGATTGGATATATTATGTTCACATGTGCACACAGGACTTTATAGTTCACAAGACACTGCCACCAGTGTGGGCCCATTGCACAGACAAGGAAGCTGAGGCCGAGGCTGTGGGGAGTCAGAGGCAGACAGAGTGGTCTGGAGCCCGAGGCCCGGGCATCTTCCTGACTCTGTGGCCGTGGCTGGTGGCCCACAGGCCCTGTCTCACCAAGTAGGGGGAATTTTTTTGTTTTGTTTTGTTTTGTTTTCAGCAAAAGTTTTCCTGAGTCAGCCACCTGCTTCCGTCTGTCCCTGGGCTGCTGACCTTGCCCGGGCTGCAGGGGCAGGAAGGAAGGGGCTCAGTGCGGCCTGGCAGACAGGCAGGGGGTGCCCACCTGCAAGGGTGGGGCCTCGGGCCTGGGCCCAAGGAAGCACATCCCAGCTCCACCTGGCAAAGTGGACTGCCTGAGTTGCCAACTTGCACTGGCGTGCCCTTGCGCCCTTGCTCCTCAGGGGCCCTGCTGGGGAGGCTGTTCTAGATCCTACTGTTTCCTCTCAAGAAATGTCCCGGCCAGGACTGCCGAGGACGGGACCTGCTCCAGGGCTGACGGGAGAGATGCCCCTGGGCTTGGGTCCAGAAGCAAGGTGGGAGGTGGGGTGGGGTGAAAACTGGTGGGCAGCGTGCCCCTAGACCAGCTGAGCACAAGACCCCAGGCCCCAGAGTCCTAGCTCCTGCACGGGCTCCACTCCACCCCTGCTGTGCGGCCCTGGGCCTCAGTTTCCTCATCTGTGAAATTGCCTTTGGTGATGTCGACCTGGAGGGTGGACTGAGAACCGGGGGACACACGGGAAGTGCACCCAGGGAAAGGAGGAGGGACCCCCAGCTTCGTGCGGTACCTGCTCCCCAGGCCTGGCTGGCCCCTCCTGCAGCTGCTTGGTTGCTCACCCGCAGCCCCTCCCTCCCCCGCTCAGGCTGTTTCAGTTCCTCTCGGCCCACCTGTGGAGCTGCAGGGGCCTCACACCATGGGTGGGAGCCGCGGGTCCTGAGCAGGCCAGGGGGAGGGGCCAGGCCTCGTCCCAGCCCCGACTGAATCGCCACCCTGAGCTCAGAGTGTAAGGGCTGTTTTGTTTGTTTGTTTGTTTGTGAGGGAGATCAGCCCTGAGCTAGCATCCATGCCAATCCTCCTCTTTTTGCTGAGGAAGACCTGCTCTGAGCTAACATCTATTGCCGATCCTCCTCCTTTTTTTTCCTCCCCAAAGCCCCAGTAGATAGTTGTATGTCATAGTTGCACACCCTTCTAGTTGCTGTATGTGGGACACGGCCTCAGCATGGCCGGAGAAGTGGTGCGTCGGTGCGAGTCCGGGATCCGAACCCCGGCTGCCAGTAGGGGAGCGTGAGCACTTAACCGCTAAGCCACGGGGCCGGCCCCTGTAAGGGCTGTTTAAAGGCAAGTGACCCCAGGTGACCACCACTAGGCACTGAGCTCAGGCTGGGGCTCCCTGACCTTCCTGGGGACCTCAGACTTTCACCCATGGCTCAGTGCATGGCGTGCAAATGCTGTGGGTCCCCCACGCTCAGGGGCAAGGCTCAGGAACCGACGCCCTTCAGATCCGCCCCCAAGACCCCACCATCTGCTGGGGGTCTGGGTGGCAGAGCCTGAGAGTCCAGCTCCAGCCCCCTAAAGCTTCAGCCACCGACCAAAACCTCCTCTGGGACCCCGACTGTCCTACCCATGGAGGCTGTGACCCTCCTGGGGACAGGCTGTCCTGGGGCAAGGGAACGAGCAGGGCCATGGAATCAGACGCGACTCTTGTGAGCTTGGGCAGGTCCCCAGCCCTTTCCTGTGAAATGGGACCCAGGGCTGGCGTGGGTGAAGCCCACCCAGGGCCCTCAAGCAGCAGGACCTCAGCAGGTGACAACTGTTTCCGCTTGGTGACTGAGCGGCTGCGTTTCTCCTGCCCGCAGATCCTGAACATGGAAGATGACCAGAACTGGTACAAGGCTGAGCTCCGGGGCGCCGAGGGCTTTATCCCCAAGAACTACATCCGCGTCAAGCCGCACCCGTGAGTGGCTGCGTCCTCCAGGCACCCGCCTCCCCCGCCCCTCCAGCCACCCGGCCACACCCGGCCTCGCCCAGGCTGAGCTGAGACCCTGTGGGGCCCAGGCTTGGTGCATCCCTTGGGCACAGGGACTCCTCACTCCTGGCCTCTGTCCATCTGTCTGGGCCTCCCATCTCTACCCCAAGCAGGGGCAGGGGACAGAGACGTGAGGACCTGCCCAAAGTGGTAGCAGAGTCAGGGCCAGCCCAGGCCACAACGCTGAGGACCTGGGACACCAGAGAACGTCCAGGAGAGCCCTGGAGAGAACAGGCTCTGAGCTCTCAGCTGGCTGGGCCACTGGCTGCTGTGTGGACTCAGGCAGGTCCCTGCTCTCCCTCTTCCTCAGTTTCCCTATCTGTAACAGAAGGAGGGCTGAGGCTCCATCTGCAGAGGATTCTAGAGCTCTCTCTAAGAGGCCGGCTCAGCCTTGTGCGAGGGCGGGGAGTGAGGGGGGTGATTGCGGGGTGGAGGAAGCAGACCTGTGGGACCCACCTCTGGAGAATGGGAGGGAGCTGGGCCTTGGCTGAGCAGAGTCTGGCACCAGGGCAGAGCGGGAGTCGTATGTGGGGCCCAGGTATCCTGGGGAGCTCCGGTCAGGCTCTCAGCAGGTGGCGCCCAATGGTGCTGCCCTGGGAATGGCCGGGGCAGGGCCCAGCCTGGAACAGCCCTCAGTGGCCAAGAAGCTATGGAAAACCAACTGGATATGCTTGAAAAGATGGCTGAGGCATCCCCAAGACATAGCCACTGAGTAAGTGGCCCCAGAGGACCCAACCTAGGTGATGCTGGAGACACGTGATGAGATGCTGGGGTCAGAGCAGCCCCGTCCTGAGGGAGAGACAGGATGTAAAGAAAGTACGACATGGGGAGACAGTCAGCATTGAGGTAACTAACCAGGGAAGCCTTCTCAGAAGAAGTGGCAATGAGTGAGGTTTTGAAGGATGTGTAGCAGTTAGCTAAGTAGAAAAAGAGGGCATTCCTGGGAGAGGAGACGAGGAGAGCAATGAGGGAGATCCCACGGCAGTGGGACTGGCAGCAGGGCCTCAAATGCCAGGCCCAGAGTGGTGGGAGCCACGGAGGTGTTTGAGCAGAGGAGGGACTCCGTCCGCCGTGGAGGCAGGTGACAGGGCCAAGCACACTGGAGGGGGCAGACTGGGAGCCGGTGTGTGTGTTCGGCTGCAGGGTGGAAGGAGAGGGAAGTTCAGGGCCAGGGTGGGGCCTGGAGGGTATTTCCTCTTTCTCTGTCTTAGAGTTCTTTCCAAAGCTGCCACCACCTCCGGCTTCCTGTGCTGAGCAAGGCCCCGTCCCACCCAGGTCCCTAGTCACTCTGCCTGGGCTCCCGGCACCCCTCGCCTCCCCCACAGAGGCTGCAGCCCTGGGTTCCCGGCCCCACAGTGTCTCTCTGGCTGTGTGACATTGGGCGGGTGTCTGCCCCCTCTGGCCTTACAGTCTTTCTGTCAGTAAAGGGGGAGCATGTGGGGAGAGAGATGGACAGAACCCAGCCCACGGCCACAAGCCAGGGCCGGACGACCCAGACATTTAAATGCCAGCAGAGGACAGGGGTGGGAGCCATCACTGAGGGCCGGCCGGTCAGGGGAGGCGTCCAGGTGGAGGAAACAGCCTGGCGAAGGCTGCAAGGCTGAAGGCTGCGAGGCCTAGTGCTGCTGAGGAGCCCTGAGCAGGGGCCTCCGTCTGCTCGGTGGGGAGAGAGCTGGCAAGACCACAGGGCTGGGCCGGCCTGTCGGGGCCGTGCAGGTGGTGCAGGCACGTCTCCAACAGGGCAGCCAGGAGCCAGGGAGGTTCCAGCCTCCGCGGCCCCTGGGGCCCCTGGGGTCAGCTCTGGCCACTTGTGTCCAGACAGAGCAGGGATAGGGGTCAGGCCCCTGACCTGCCCGCCTGAGGCCATGCCCAGGTGCCTTCTTCACTAACCTCATCACCCACCCTGGTCCTGAACCAGCAGTGGGGAAACTCCAGCTCAGCCCCAGACTCGGCCGTCGAGGCCCCAGGGTGTGGAGTGGGGTGGGACTGGGGTCCCAGGAGGCCTCATGCCTACACCAGGCCTGCTCCTTCCCTGTGCACCCACTGCCACCCCACCTGCATGGGGCAGACCCACCACCCCAGAGCAGGCCCCATGGGGCTGGGGCCACGGAGGGACCTGACCAAGCCACGTGGCTGGTGGGGGACAGAGAGGGCCTCTCAGAAGAAGGGCATGGTCCGCTGGGCCTGAAAGTTCGAGTGGAAGTTTGCCGGGAGAGCAGAAGACAGGCCCAAGGGAGTGCTGTGTGGGCGGAGGGGGAACCACCTCGTCACAGTCCTCAGCACCAACACCTGCGGGCGGCAGCGCCCCGCTCTCCCACGGGCCCCGCGAGCTGGGGACTCTTGTCTCGGCCTCACCGACATGGAGACAGAGGCTCAGAGAGGCTGAGTGGCTGGTCTAGCCTCACCTGGCCACTAAGAGGCAGAGCGGGGTTTGCAGCCGCATGCTGCGCGTGGGCCTCAGGCAGTGCTCCCCCAGAGGGGTGGCCGGGGAGCCGTGAGAGCAGCCCTGGGCTGGGGAGAGTCCGAGGCCAGGGACTTGCCGTGCAACCTTGTGGGGGGTCCCTGCCTCTCCTTGGGCCTCAGTTTCCACATCAGTAAAATGGGGACCACACGAGGTGACCAGGAGTGAGTGATGCTGGCGTCCCCCACACACTGTCCTCCAAGCCACCCTCGGACGAGGCCTGCCTTCCCTGGTGGGGGCAGGGCCGGCCTCCTCGGAGGGTGTGGTTGCGACACCCTTTGAGGGCGACAGCCGCCCACACGCTGACGCCTCCTCTGGGGTTTTGTGGGTTCTTTGGGGACACCCAGGCCCCACCAGGCCCCTGCTCCTGCAGTGCGGTGCCTGTACCTGTGTCCTGCCGGGGCCTTATGGGCGCAGGAGCTCTCTGCCCCAGGCCCCCCGAGCCCCTGGCCCCCCAGGACCCAGCTCAGCCTCTGGCCTGGAGGCCTCCGTCCAGGACCCCCCGACCTCAGAGCCCCAGGCTGAGCTCGCCAGACGGCTGCCTTGAGCCCCACAATCAGCAGCCACCTTCACCGCCCCCCTCCTGGGGAGACCACGTGAGAGGGCCCAGGGGCCCCACCAGTCTGGGGGCGCAGCAGACTGGAACCTCACTTCTGGGGTACGGGCCCCCAGAAGCTGCCCCTGAGACACTACGAGGACAAAGTGGGAAGTGGGCAGGAGGAGCCGTGGGGGCTGTGTGACTGACACGCTGCTGCCGGTGCTGCTGAGTGCGGGCGGGCTGGGGCGGCTGGCGACAGAACAGGCGCCCAGAGTGTCCCGTGGGACAGGGAGCCGGGTGTTTATCCACCTGCTCCCCTCAGTCATCGCTGGAGAAGCTTCCAGGGGCTCAGCCCGCCCTGCGCACAGTCCCAGGATGTCAGGCGCCAGAAAAAAGACTGTGTTGTCACTTGTGGAGCGAGAGCAGGGACACGGGCAGGACACCGCTGGCATCTGCCGCCGCACCTGCCACCCTTTGGTCTCGGCCGAGGGCTCGTCAACATCCTGAGACGACAGGAAAGGTCCCACCTCACTTCCGCCCTCGGTGCCAAGCTCAGACTCAGGAAGCGTGTGCTGAAGGAGGGAAGGGAAACGCCACAGGGAAGCGGAGGCTCTGGGCCCAGCCTTGGTTGGCAATAGTCCCACCATGAGACTCCGGCCTCTCTGGGCCTCAGTTTCCCCATCTGAACAATAAAGAGGTCGGAGCCACAGCTGGGCTAAAGCACAGGGCCGGGAAGCCCGTCAGAGAGCACCCGGCCCCTCCAGGGGTGGGCGAGGCCCCAAGAGGTCAGGGGCTGCCTGGAGCCACGCAGCCAGATGGGCAGGGCTGGGAGAGGAGCTGGGTCCCAGCCTCTAGCTCTTAGGCTCTGGGGGTGGAGGGGCGGTGGGGATCTTGCAAGACTCTGAGCATCTGCCAGCCACCTTCTGTATACCCATTCTGTATACCCATTCTGTTTGGTCAGCAGGAAAAGGGACTTGTACCTGTGAGGAAGAGCTGGGGTGGCCTCAGTCTGTGCCTCTGTGAAATGGGTACAGGGAGAGAGTCCTTCTCACCAGATCAAAGCTGCTATTGTTTTCGTCATCCATTTCTATATTTTTTGACTTTTAAGAATCTACCATCTAACAGGGAAAAGCTCAGCTGTGGTTGGCTGAGTGGAGGTCCGCTGGGGTTTGATTTTTCTGTTTTTGTAAGAGCGTGTGTTTGCCTGGCGTGGTGGGAGAGGCTGGAATTGGGTCCCCGTTCCTGCCTGCCACAGCACGTGACCCGGGCTTGTCGCATCACCTCTCTGTGCCTTGGGTTCCCATCTGTAAAATGGGCACAATCGCTCTCCTGCATCTCAGGACTGCTGTGAGGAGCAGCGATGTCGTGTGCTGGCACCTGGCGGAGGGGTGGCCTGGCCTCCCTGCTGTCCTCACCTGCCCCTCTCTCTGCAGATGGTACTCGGGCAGGATTTCCCGGCAGCTGGCCGAAGAGATTCTGATGAAGCGGAACCACCTGGGAGCCTTCCTGATCCGGGAGAGCGAGAGCTCCCCAGGGGAGTTCTCCGTGTCTGTGAAGTGAGTTCTGACCCACAGGGGAGCGCAGAGGAGGGTGGGCAGGGAGGCGGCGTTGAGCTGAGCCTTGGAACACAGGACAGGCTGGCAGGGTGAGCTGGAGGGAACAGCATGCCTGGAGGAGGAGCAGCCAAGCAAATGCCTGGAAGCAGGTGACCTTCTGGGGGTCGGCGAGCGACATGCACCCCAGGGTGTGGCCCAGAGCAGGGGGGACGTGCTCGGAGAGCAGGCTGGGCCGACTGTGAGGCCTCGAGTGCAGGCCGAGGGGTCTGGATGTTACCCACCAGCAGTCAGGGGCCATCAAAGATCTGCCACCGGGAGGAAGGAGGACGTGCAGGAGAGACGGGAGGAAGCACCGAGGCACCAGGGCGGGTGTGGGTGTGCTCGGGACAGGGTGCCACCGTCCGGGGACACAGGTGCAAGGATGGACCCAGGGCCAGGCTGCTGGGGTTCCGATTCTGGCTCGGCCACTTCCCGGCCGTGTGACTTGGGGTGGTCCCTGTGTCTGTCTCCTCACACGTGAGACGGGCCGTTGCAGGGAATAAGGGAGCCCACGATCCAGAGCAGCTAGAGTAGTGCCTGGCACTGAGGCAGCCAGGCCCTGCTGGCAGTGCCGGCTTTGTGACGGGCCAGCTCCGCATGCATGGGCCTCGGGGCAGCGCAGAGCCCAATCCCAAAGGCCACCCCTGGGACCCCCGAGGAATCCAGGGGGAAGTAGGGGCAGGAGCAGGGGTGGGAGGGCGAAGTGGTCAGGCCCCCGGCTGTTCTCTGTCCTTCCCGCTCCCAGGGCCCAGAACAGAGGGATCTGGATGCATAGATTCAAGGACTATTGATTGAGCTACACGCCACGTGCCAGGCTATTCTAGGGACTTGGGAAACGACAGTGAAAGAACGGAAGGTGCTGCCCTGACGGGTTTACGTCTTAGCGGGGGAGACAGCGAACAAGGACACAGATACAGCGGGAGCCGAGGGGTCAGGGACGGTCTCTCTGAGGAAGCGGCGTCTCAGCAAAGACCTGAACCTGGAGGTGGAGGCTGCCCGGGGCCCCGGGAAGGAGGACCTGGGAGGAGAGGCTTCCGGGCAGGGGAATAGTGAGTGCAAAGGCCCCGAGGTGGGAACGTGCTTGGGCGTGTGGGAGCCCACAGGGAGGCAGCCTTGCTGGGGTATAGCGAGCAAGGAGGGGAGGGCTGGGGGTCACAGTCAAAGAGACGGGGGGGACAGATCACAGAGGGCCTGACGGACCCTGACAAGCAGGTTGGGTTTTCTCTAGGCAATAGGGAGCCACGGAGGGTCCTGGGCAGGGGTAGATGTGATTGGCTTCTGCTGTTTAGCTGATCCCTCTGGCTGCTGGAGGAGGAGGGACAGTTGGGAGTAAGCAGGAGCCCTGGGCGGCCAGTCAGGGGCCAGGCGGGAGGTGATGGCGTCTGGGACTGTGGTGGGGGCTGAGGGGACGAGAAGTGGCCGTGTCCGGGAGATGGCTTGGGTCTGTGAAGTGGGGACCACCAGCAACACCAGCTCTCAGAGTTGCTGTGGGCGCTGGGCACCAGCCTGCACAGAGGAGGCACTTGCTGTGCCAGCTCTCACTGTCACTAAGACAGTGCTGGGGGACAAAGCTGCCAGCTAGAAGGAAGGAACGGGAGCTGGGCCCCGGAGCAGACAGCGTGGCTTCTGGGAGGCAGTGGCCACTCAGTGTGCCGTGTGGCTCTGAGGGATGTCTTTTTCCCAGCCCTGGGTTGATGCACAGGCAGTGGTTCGACGAGTTTCCCGAGGATAAACGAACAGGAGACCACTCTGACGGTGAACGCTGGGGCTGGGTGTGAGGGGGCAAGTTGGGCGGGGCGCTGGGGTCAGGGGAACCCCAAAGAAGCAGAGGAAGCAAGACGCGCACAGGGCTGGCTCGTGGTGGCCTCGCGCGCCTCCACACGGGCTGGGCTGTGATGGCCCCAGAGAGGCTCCTGTTTGCAGAACATGTCTGGGGTTGATGCCTTCCCGGCCCCGCGGTGGCGGTGAGCAGGTGACGTGCGCGTTGTTCACGGGTCCCTTTCCGTAAAGAGCTCCTGGCCGTGTGTGATCAGCACACCTGCCGGAGCCCTGCGAGGGGGCGATCTCCCTGCCTGGGCCAGGAGGCACCCTTGCCGGGAGGACCACCATGATCAGGAAGGCTGCGGGGGCGGGGGGGTAAAATGATCCGTCACAAGGGGTCCCAGCACTTACCTTGACCCCCCAAGCTGTGTCACGGGCCACCGGCTTTTCTCACTTTTCCCCTGAGAACAGCCGGTCATCCTGAGGGACGGGACTGGCTCTTGCCCTCTCTGAGCCTCTATTTCTCCATCTTAAAAATGGGAGCACTGTTAGTGTGTGTATGTGTGTGGGGTGGGGGGGGTGGTAATGTGAGTTCTTGGCCCTGACACCCCCCCAGGATGGTCATGGGCACCAGGAGCCTCCCTACCCCGGCTCACCCCCACACCTCCACAGCCCAACCCCCACTGCCCCCTGGGCTCCCTGCTAAAGCAGGAAGTGGCCGTTTTCCAAGTGCTGGCTGTCTCCTGGGAGTGACGCCCGCCAGGCGGGCTCGTCTGGCCTCGAGTGGCTGCTGGAACCAGCCCCAAAGCCCAAGGTCACCCAGCAAAGCAGGGGCTCAGGGAACTCGCTGAGGCCACTTCTGGAGCCCGAGCTGAGGTGGAGGCCGAGGCTCTCCCACCCCTCCCTCCTCTGCCCACAGAGTGCACTGCCTGAGCTTCCAGCGTTAGCGCCTGGGTGCACTGCCCTCTTCTGGCGTCTCCCTGTAAATGCAGCCCCGCCGGCACACGTGTACAGCTTCAGACCCCAACCCCTCAGCCTACAGTGTGTGTGTGAACCACAGGTCAGGACAGAGAGAGGAGTCAAACCCAAGGAATGTGGTGGGGAAGCAGACACGGCCTGGCCCCAGGGCCTTCATGATGAACGAATGAATGAATGAGGGAAATTCAACGATAGCAGGCACATTCCACGTGGTGAAGGAGGTAACATCTGAGCTGGGCTCTGAAGCATGAGTAGGAGTGCACAAAGAGGGAAGAGGGTCTGCCAGGCACAGGGAACAGCATGTGTGAAGACCTGGGGTGGGTTTGGACAGCAACAAGCTGTCTGACCAGGTGGGGAGATGGACAGTACTAGGGGGCAGTTCTTGAGCAGGGGAGCCAGCACCAATATCGTCCTGGGAAGGGTCTGGGAGTGTCCCTCAGAGAAATCCTGGGACATGCCTCCAGCACCCCGCAGGCATCCTGGCAGAGTCCCCCAAGGTTAGAATGGCAGGAGCTTCCTGGCTCTGCTGGCTGTGGTTTGCACACCTACCACCAGGTGGCGAGCTTCACCCTCGGTTTGGTCCCAGCTGGGCCGGGCCCCCGGGTCCAGCTCCCACTCTTGGGCCACCAGCTCTCATGCGGGCTTTTCAGTGGCCCTTGGAGGACCATCGGGCAGGAATCAGAGTAGGAAACTGAGACGTAGAGGACACGTGTGGCCAGGAGTGAGGGCTGTTGAGCGAGAATCTCAGCTCTGATACCTACTAGCTGTGTGACCCTGGGCAGCCCACCCTCTGGGCCTGTTTCCTCTTCTGTGACACGAACGTCTGTGTAAAGTGCCTGTGACGCCCGGCACATAGTGAGTGCTCAAAAAATGCCACTTAGAGTAATGATCATTATATTAACCCTCCCAGGGCCACGCAGCGCTTCCTGGCCCTGCCGCCGAAATGCAGGGCTATTGGAGAAGGGGCAGAGGCCTGTGAGGCGGGTCCTGGCTTTGCTCTGGACCTGCTGTTTATCCTCAGGCAGATCCCGGCTCTCTCTTGGCCGCAGTGTCCTCATCTACGACGTGGAGACAGTAACCCCAGACCTTATGAAGCCCAGTGACCCACTGACCATCCAGAAAAGTGATGGCTGTGCAGATTCGTGTGTGAGAGCTTCTGCCCTCGCTGGCTTGGCTCCTGGGGACTCTGACCACACTGCGCGTGGCATCTCCTGCACACTCATGCCAAGCCCCATAAAGCTGTCAGAGGTGGTACGAATGGGCCTTATGGGGCCTCAAAAGGCGTAGTGGCCACGGCCGGCGGCCCTTTATGGGTTTGCAAAGGGCTCTCCCCCCGCCACCTCCAGGAGCACATCTGAGCTGGGGCCAGCAGGCCAGGGGCCAAGGCTAGGGCTGTGTAGCTTTCGCCCCACGCTCCATCCAGACTGCTGTGGACGCCTCTGTCCTAAGTGAGGGTTTGTTCCCAGCTGAAGTGCTTTGCTTCCTTTCAGGCCAGAGGTGCCCTGGAGTCAGTGCACATCTGTTTGCTGTGCCTCTCTGGCCACTGGATGCCTGCTGTGCGCCAAGCCCTGTTCCAGGTGCCTGGGATTCAGCCACGAACAAAACGGCAAAGCTCCCTGTCCTTTAGGCGCTCACGTCTTACTGGGATGACAAAGAATATACAATTAGTAAATTATATAAAATCTTGGAAGATGATAAAGTCTCTTGAGAAAACAAAGCAGGAAAGAAGTGGAGGGAGTGCAAATTTATGCATACAAACACAGGGAGGAAGGGATCCCCAGAAGCCCAGTTTGCAGGTAAGCAAACTGAAGCTCAGAGAGGTGCAGTAACTTGCCCAAGGTCACACAGCAAGGAACAGCAGAGCTGGTGCCTATTGGCCCTCTGTGCCCTGACAGACCCGGTCTCTCTTTCCACCCACCCTCCCTGAGACCCAAAAACCCAGCAGGGGTCTGTCTCCACCCGTGCCTCCCGAGGTCAGTGTGATCCAGTGTCCTGTCTGCTGCAGCGCAGGTGTTCCAGCCCTCCCTTCTCACAGATGGGCACATGGGGGCTAGAGAAGGGCCGTGCCTGATGGAGATCACCCAGTGGGCAGTGAGTGCCCAGGCCTCTGCCCAGGGGTCTGCAGGCCCAGGCCGGGCAGTCCTGGGGCTCCTGACCTCACCCCTGCCTTGTTCATCCTCCCTCAGCTGCCACTGTCACCTTTGCTGCTGCTGTCGCCAGGCTAGAAAAACCTGCTGGGCAAGACGGCTGCTGCCGGCATCAGGCCCACTCGGTCCTGGGGCTTTCTTGACAGCCCAGGGGCCGGCTCCTCAACCCCTGGTAGGTGGGTGTGGGAGTCACACACAGAAACGAGCACAGCCCAGGCTGCCCAGAGAGGGACGCACACACAGTCCCTCCCGCAGAGCAGGGGGAGCGACGCACGCACACACCCAGACATGATGGGGACAGGCGCCCGACACACACCCCAGGCCCTGCCCACTGTTGTGGACCCTCCTCTGGCCAGGCCCAGGCTCAGATCCCCCTGGATGCCCTTCCCTCCTCCCACTCAGGAGGCCTCACCTAGCAGGGCTATCTGCACTTGAGTCATTCCTGCCAGGTCGGGGTCACCTGGACTAGACTCGGCTCCCCCTAAGCCCTGCGGCTCCCCCTAAGCCCTGCAGCTCCCCTGGGCCTGGGGGTGGGGGTCGAGGTCTGGAGAGTCCACAGAAGGCAGCCCCTGGTCTGAGGGGTTCTCGGACACCTCAAGGCTCCCCCCGGCCTTGAAGGATGGCAAAGGCCTAGACGGGGCAGAGGAAAGGGAAAAGGCAAGAGTCCCGGGCAAGGGCTGGGGAGGCCGGAGACAGGCTGGCTGGAAGAGGGAGACTGCCCCAGAGGCTGAGTCCTCGGGGCCGTCAGAGGGAGAGGGCCCTGCCTGGCCTCAGACAGGGGTGGTCACTGATCAGGCCAGGGAGTGGCCTGCAGGAGCGGCCACGCCTGGGTCACATGCAGCAGCAGCAGCAGCATCGCCAGCCCGCTGCCCCTGGCTGTGGGCGTCCCATCTCCTCTCTGGGCCCCGCTCTCCTCACTGTAGAACAGGAGGTTCAGACCAGGCAGGAGACAGGACAAGACCTGCCATTCACTGAGCACCTACTGTATGCCATGCACAGGCTCGGGGCTGGAACATACATGCTTCCCAGATGTGAGAAGTCTCGAAGGCTGGAAGGTTCTAGAATTCCTGGGTCCTTTGCCCCTTTCCCACACCTTGTTTGCTGTTCCCCACTCCCTGACCCTCCTGTATGATCAGGAAATGCTTTGCTCTCATAACTTTCCAGGTAACTGAAGCTAACCTTCAAACACAAAAGTGTTCCAAGTTGTGGTCATCTGGGGCTGAGATCTTTCCAAACCTACCACATCCTATCTGCCCCCCCACCCAGAGGGGAGGGGACCCCCAAACCCCAGACTCCTCCTTGGGGCCCGCAGCAAGGCAGGGCGTCTGCCTCTGCACTGAGCGTCCAGCCGTGGCGTCGTCAGGGTCCCTGCTCCCTGGCGTCTCACCTGCCCAGCCACGGTCACCTCACCGCACTGCCCAGGAACACAGTCCTCCCTGGGCGCCCCAGCCAAAGTCCAGGGAACAGGAAAGCCCCGAGCTCACGGACGGGGCACTAGGGAGTCACGGGGCTCAGAGGGCAAGTGCAGGGTCTCTGGGGGCTCGCCTGCCCTCCTCCCACCCCGGGACAGCCATGTCCCTGGACGACAAGGCCAGCGGCTCCGTCACTGGGCACAGTGCCTGCTGTTGGCACGCGAGCGACTCAGCCTGGTCACAGAGCCTCGGGGGTTTGTGTTGTCAGTTCTCGTGGGGGAACCGGCTCCCTCCGGAGTGAGCCACCCGAGAGCTGGACCATCTTAGAGAGGACGCGGGCTTGCTTTCGGGGCAGGACACCTGGAGGGCTGGGATCCAGCTCAGAGCTGGCCGAGAGGGTTTCAGAAACAGGCACCCGACGAGCCCTGAAGCCTTGGGCTGTCACGCTCCTTTCCCTGAGCCCAGCCTCTCCCGCTGGGCTACACCCTTGGGGCCCACACCTGCTCCCTGCCTTTCCGTGCCTAGTACGCGAGCCATCATGAGCACCAGGTTACAAGAAGGCCGCACAAGGGGCTGAGGAACCCAAGGAGACCCCTGACTCTGACTGAGTGGGTCTGAGGCAGCTCTCAGAGATTGGGCCGTTTTATCTGGGCCTTGAAGCATGAGTAGGAGTTTGACTCAAGAAGAATTTGGAGGAAATAGTGTATGCAAAGGCCTGGAGGTGTGTTTGAAAGTGGAGAGAGAAGTTCTGTGTGGGCAGGGTGGGGGGATCCCACTTTGCCCCCCATTTGGTGGGCACACACACAGACCAGAGGTTGCTTACTTTGAACAACTTTTTATCTTAAATCTTCAACACAGCAAGCGTGCCAGCCCCAGGGCTGGCAGGTGGAGGGAGTGAACCTTGGGCAGGGTGGGGACAGAGAGAGCAGCAGGCCTGGGCAGCTGGGGGTGACAGACACTGCACTCCTGCTCAGGCCCTGGAAGAACTTGGACTGTGGGTCTGCAGAGCTCAGGCTGCAGGCCAACCCCAGCTTGCCAACGCACCGCATCCAAAATCGTGTAAAGAGATTTAAATTTAGAACCTAGGGGGCTGGCCCTGTGGCTTAGCGGTTAAGTGCGTGCTCTCGGCTGCTGGTGGCCTGGGTTCAGAGCCCGAGCGGGCACCGACGCACCGCTTGTCTGACCATGCTGAGGCCGCGTCCCACGTACAGCAACTAGAAGGATTTGCAACTATGGCGTACAGCTATCTACTGGGGCTTTGGGGGGTAAAAAAAAAGGAGGAGGATTGGCAATAGATGTTAGCTCAGAGCCAGTCTTCCTCAGCAAAAAGAGGAGGATTAGCACGGATGTTAGCTCAGGGCTGATCTTCCTCACACACACAAAAAAAAGATGTTTAAATTTAGAGCCCAGGAGGTGTTTTTTCTTTTTACTATCAAGTCTCCAGACCGGCGTTTGGTTCTCATTTGGTCCCAAACAAAATGAGAACTCAGCCTGTGGCTCAGGAGGTGGAGGAGGCCTGTCCCTCCTAGTGGCTGTCTTGTGCCCCCAACACATACCTCCGGCCACACCCATAGTCCCCAGGGTCTTCTGCGTCTCAGCTCCACCCGCCACCTGGACGGGACACCCTCGGGCAGGTTCCTCAACTGGCTTCTTCCTGGTGGGGAGCTGGGGCTGTTCTGGCCTGGCCACCAGCCCAGCGAGGCCTCCCTCACCTCACCCACAGGGAGTGCAGCACCCCCCACCGGGCAGATGAGGACGCTGAGGCCCCGAGAGGTGAGCCGGGGTGAAGTCCAGACGGGCTGACCATAGAGCTGGGAAGGGTGGCTGCGTTGTGGCCAGGCAGAGGGGATGAGGGAGGGAGGGCCTCCTGGGGTCTCAGCCAGGTAACAACAGGGTGGAGGCGGACTGGACGTGGGGTGACAAGATCCGGGATGTTGTTAATAGCACAGCTGGAATCACTGTTCTTGCTATTTTCATACAATGACCACCAGTTGGGGAGCATGTTAGAGTGACACCTGACGTGGAGGAGCTCAGACGTGGCCCCAGCTCTGGCCTCTGTTGCTCTGTGACTCTGGGCAAGTCATGACTGCACTTGGGGCCTCAGTCTCCCCGCTGTACTAAGGGCCGGATTAGCTCCTCCCAGGCCATGCAGCGCCCCTGCAGCGGGGAGGGGAATCATGATGGTTTGCGCTGCCCGTTGTCCTGACCCACGCCGGCACCACCTCCAGCCCCAGTCCTGCACGGCCTGTCCCGGTTTGGGACAAGCTGCGTGTTGGAAGGCGCCAGGCAGGTCCCTCTGCCCAGTCCCAGGCAGAACAGGCTCTGCCCTGCTGGCCCATTTGGGAGAGGCAGGCTGTCTCCTCAGCGGGGCTAGAAGGTACCTGGGAGGATTTGGAAGGCTGGGCAAAGGATGGGAGACGAGAAAGAAAGGGGCCCGTTGATTGCATCAGAGAGCACATGAAGGCAATGAGGCTGGACATATAATCAGAGCCAGATCTTGAGTCTGAGGTGTTAAGATTTTCTCCTGAGGGCGGTGGGGAGTCATAGAAGGTTCTTGAGGTGGGGGCGGGAGTGGGTGAGAAGGACATGAAGCATCCAACCTGCCTGAGCTCCTCTCACACGGGCAGCTTTGGCCTGAGTCAGGATGCTCTTAAGACTCACTCCTCAAGGGACTGCAAGGACCGGGAGGGGCCAGCAGAGGGAGAAGAGTGTCAAGGCTGAGGGGGGTGTTGAAGAGAGAAGATGCTACCCGATCACCTCTCAGAGGAACCCATTTAGTGTTGCCAATAAACCATGGGCAACATTTTCTGAGCATTTAGCCAGAAGGGAGGTGTTATTACGAGGAAACTGAGGTTCAGAGAAGTTCAGTGATTTGCCTAAGGGCACACACAAGAAAGTGGCCTGGTCCAGGGCCCACAGCCTCACCTCCGTGCTCCGCCTCACCAGGCGCCAGAGTGGCCTCCCTGGGTGTCGTATGGAGCAGGGTCAGTGGGGCCTGGGACTGCCCTCCGCCACCTCACCTTCTCCTGACTCCAGGTCTCACCAGGAGAGAGAGGCCTGGTTCCAGGTGGTAGGCAGGGCGGCCCCGGGGCTGGCCGGACTGGGCGAGGGCCCGGCCGTGGGCCCGTCTGAGGTGGCCGTGGCCCTCTCCACAGCTACGGGGACCAGGTGCAGCACTTCAAGGTGCTGCGCGAGGCGTCGGGGAAGTACTTCCTGTGGGAGGAGAAGTTCAACTCCCTCAACGAGCTGGTTGACTTCTACCGCACCACCACCATCGCCAAGAAGCGCCAGATCTTCCTGCGGGACGAGGAGCCCCTGGTCCAGGTAGGCGGGCAGGAGGCAGGGCTGGGGGCTGCCCTGAGGGAGCCTCTCTGTTCCTCTGTGTCTCAGGGGCGATGACCCCTCCCTTCCTTCCCCAGCAGCCCCATGTCGCAGGAGGCGGGGTCCAGCCCTGGTTCAAAGTTCTGTTCTGGTGGAGCAGCAGTGAGACAGCCAGGGTGGGAAAGGAGAGGAGGGAAAGGAAATGAAGGAACAGAATGGAAATTCTGTGGGGCAAACCATGTGTAGCTTGTTCTCAGCTCCTAGAGCAGTGCCCGGCACACAGTAGGTGCTCAATAAGTGTCTATTGAATAAATGAAGGTACTGACACCTGCTGAGCCTACTGAGTGCCCCGCACTGAGCTGGGCTGTCCACTGGAACCTCGTCATCCCCATTGTACAGGTGGGGAGACTGAGGCTCGGAGGGTGACGTGACTCATCCAGGGCCACCCACAGGGTAGGCTCCGTGCTGGTTTCTGCTCCTGAGGGGCTGGTCTCGGGTGGGGTGTGGGGCAGTGTGAGTGTGAGTGGGTGAGGTCCTGGCTGGACACAGGGTGTGTGGGGGTCCAGCCGCCCCTCATCCTCACAATAACAGCAATTTGCCAGGCAGCCCTTTCATCAAGGGGCCCTGAGGACCAGCTGTCACTCTTATCGGGATGACGACACCAGCCAACGGGGTTATTAGCCCCAACGTGCTGTTTTCCTTGGGTTGGCAAGGCCTGGGGCTGGAGGTCAGGACCCTGGGACAGCCCAGTTGAACTCAGGCTCTGCAGAGAGCGTGGGGGGCATGGGCAGGGCCAAGGCCTGGGCAGGGGCTGAGGGACCACTGCAGAGAAGCCCCAGTCCTGCCCTGTTCCACCTCGCCATGTGTGACCTGCCTGGGCCTCAGTTTCCCCTGTGTCCAGTAGGATAAGCCCTGGGATCTGAAATGCCAAAGAGTCAAACAGTGCCTCAGGAGACCCCCACTGGTGCACCCTCTGTTCCCCCAGGACACTCCACCTCCTCAGCCTGACCCTGGGGCCGGGTCAGCTGTGAGCTCTCAGTCTTAGGGACGCCCCCTCCTGGGCCTCCATCTCCTCCGCCTCACTGCCTGGGCCAGCTCTGCCCTTGGAGAGAGTGAGGGAGCCAGACGGAGCTGGCGGGCCACCTGAGGGCTCCCCCACACCCACCGCCTCGCTCTGGCCTGGGCCCTGGGGTCACCCATCCTGCGGGCAACTCCAGAGCTGGCTCAGCCCCCTGGGCCCCACGCCGCCTCCTCCTTCCTGAGCAGAGGACCGCTAATTACAGCCTGCCTGCTGATCCTATCACCCTCCTGGGTAGGATTCTGCAGGCTCAGAGCAGAGGTCCCAGTGGGGCAGGCAGGGCCGGGGCGCTGGGCATCATCGTCACGGCGCCAGGCTGATGAGCCTGCAGACAGCTCTGGTCCAGCTGCCCCTCGCAGGGCGGGAAACCGAGTCCCACAAGGGACAGGAACTTACCCAAGGTCACCTTGGGGCACAGATAGGACGGGAACCCAGGCCTGAGAGCTGGGAGCAGCTCAAAGTGACATCCTATCCCTCAAAGCCTGGCTGGGGCAGCAGCAGTGAAGTCTGCTTTTAGTTACACATCACTTTACAGTTTATAAGGCCCATTCCTGTGGTTCCGGGGCCTGGAGTCAAAAGCTACCATGGCTGCTAGAGCCAGGGAAATGAGACCCCAAGAGGAGCGAGGACCTAACCAAAGTCCCGCACGAAAGACCGGGACTCAGCGCCAGCCCTGTCGTCCCAGTGGGGCCGCCAGGACAGCTGTGTGGCTCTGTGTGGATGCAGTGTCTGTGCAGCAGGAGGCCCACGGGGTGGGTAGCTATCCATTGGGACTTGGAGGCAGAGGCGAATTCAACCCCAATTTTGTCCCAAAGTTCTGTCCTCCCCAACCTGCGGCAAATCACTCCTTTTGTTGGGGCCTCCCGGGAGGGCCGGAGGCAGCCCTCCCGAGGGGCCACACTAACGCCTTCCTCCCCTGCAGCCGCCAAGGGCCTGCTTTGCCCAGGCCCAGTTTGACTTCTCCGCCCAGGACTCCTCACAGCTCAGCTTCCGCCGCGGCGACATCATCGAGGTCCTGGAGCGCCTGGACCCCCACTGGTGGCGGGGCCGGCTCTGCGGGCGCGTGGGCTTCTTCCCGCGGAGCTACGTCCAGCCAGTGCACCTGTGACCGTGGTGGGGCCCGGGGGGCAGAGCCGGCAGATCCCCCGTCCACTGACACTGAGGTCCAGAGAAAGGACATGGACACCCCCGCCCCAGGTCCCACAAGGTGAGCCGAGGGCTTTGGACTGGAACGTGGGCCTCCTAACTGCCGCCTCCCACCACTTGACACCAAGTGGGACCGACCCCAGCGCCCCAGCATCACTGCAGCGTTCGTCGCCCCCCGGGCACCGGGAGCTCCCGGGGCTTCCCGCTGGCCTCTTCCCATTGGTCACCAGCTGTGAGATGCCATAAGGCGGGGCCTCTGCCAGCCCCGCCCACTCCTACCACCAAGGGCCCCATCCCCAGGGAGGGTTGAGGACTCCTAGGTCCACCCATAGGGGGTCCAACCCAAGGAGTCATGGGCTTGGTGGGTGGGTTCACCTCAGGCAGACTAACCCCTGGGCCTGCCTGCCCCTCCCTCAAAAGGCCCCTCAGGTGTTCTGACTACTGGGTCTGGCAAGGGCGCTGCACACCTGTTGACCTGGACTCGCTGGACAGACTCCAGGTGGAGACCGACCTCTCGGCAGCGCCACAGCGACTTTGGGCTCCACCTGAGCATCCAATACCCCGACCCCACCACGGACACTTTGGGGAGGGGCTGTAGGCCTTGAGGCCCTGAGGCGGGGGCGGCAGTGGTGAAAGAAAGGGAGCCAGCTGCTCCTCTCCTGCTGGGTCCCAGCAACGGACAGGCTCTGAGGGCCAGGCCCTGGACACAGCCACTGGGGACACTGCTGCCCCGGCTCTTGTTAGTTCAGGCCCAGGTTCCGCCCAGACCACCGCCCCGGGGGAGCCTGGGGGAACCACAGGCCACTAGGAAGTTGGGGGCCAGAGCTGGACTTGGAAGTCCAGCAGCATCCAGAAGGGGGCGGACAGTCTGGGGGGGGCCAGCCTGAGGAAAGGCAGGCGTCCACATGGAGTGTGCGACCAGCAGGGGTCCAAGCAGCACCACCTGGAGCCTGGGCACCTCGGGAGCAGGAGGAGTGAGGAGACTCAGAGAGGGCCCTGAACGCCAGGCAGGAGGGGGCGGAGGGGGCGGTGAACAGGGAGGGAGCCAGAGGAGGCTCCTGTGGCATCTGGGAGCAGGTGGGACGAGGGAGGGCCCGGGAAGGAGGCGCTTCGGGCCCGTACTAGGCACAGAGGCTCTCCCTCCGCCCAGGGCTGGCCCGAGACCCTTGAGCCCCCAGCTCTGGCAGGTTGTGTGCTCCTGACCTGGGCCTGTGTGCTCCAAATAAAAACAGGAAAACGAGTATAGGCTGAAATGAGAAATCTAATCTTCCCAATTATGACAACTGGTTTTGAAGTATCACACTCTTTTTTCCCATTTCCTCCCTAATTTTTCAGGGCTCCTGCTTTGCGGGCTCAGCCAGTCCCTGGGCACTGACCCGCCATGTAGCTGTGAGGGGAGTCCGCCCTTCCCTGGGCCTCGGTGTCCTGGTTAGGGAAACGGGGGCGGACCTCAGGGCTCTGAGGGGTCCCGCCTTCCTGCCCAGGGGGGCAGCATCAGGCGAAGTAGGCATAGAAGAAGATGTTGACGCACATGAGGAGGATGGCGTTGAAGCCACAGACACGGGCCCAGAAAGCATATTTCTGGGATGTTTGGCTGTCACCTGGAGCGGGTGGGAGAAGGAGAGGGACAGATGAGGGCCACAGGGCCATACCGGGCACCCGTCCCTCCAGCCCCCCTCGGAGTGGGGTGAGAGGGAGTGCCTGGGGTCACACATGTACCTGTTTTGGCTCCTGGAGGCAAGGCCCGAGCCAGAGTCCACCAGGTAAGGTTCTCAATCTGCAGGGAACATGAGGGATGGGGGTGTGGCAGGACAGGGGTGGACCAGACGGGGCCAGGGGTCCGTGATGGAAAGAAAGCAGCTGAGCTCAAAAAGGGACAGAGGCCAGGGCCAGAGCCAGTTAGGGGTCAAGAGCTAGAAAATTCTTGAGTCAGAGAGGGTCGGGGTCAGAATGGGACCAGAGTCAGAAGTTGTTAAGGGTCAGGGGTCAGGGGCCAGGGCAAGCTCACCCGAACACCTGCGGGGGGTGGCGTCAGCAGGCTCCCGGCCACCACCACAGCGCCGCTGAGCACAAAGAGGGCGACGGCAAAGTGCAGGTAGTGGATGCTGCCCAGGACGGCGGGCCGCATGTCCGGGTCGCCGCAGGGCGGGGCTGGGTGCAGGAATTCCAGGACCAACCTCGTGGCGCCCACCGCCAGCCCCGCCATCAGGCCCCAGAAGGCCCCCTGGGGAGGAGGAGGCAGGGCAGCTGGGGCCGTGGGAGGAAGGCCCAGGTTCCCCCAGCGCACACACGGGTGCAGGGAAGATGCAACCGAGCTGCAGCTCATCCACGGGAGAGGACAGAGCCCGCCCCACGTCCCGTCCCGCCCCAGCTCGCCTCACCACCCACCCACCTGCTCGTTGGCACGCCGCCAGAAGATGCCCAGGACAAAGACTGCGGTCACCGGCGGGGCCAGGGAGCTGGTCACCGACTGCATGTAGATGAAGAGCTGCCCACTGTTGGAGCCCTGCAGGACGGGGATCCAGGCCACGCTCACGCCTATGAGCACCACGATGACCAGCCTGCGGGCGGGCAGCGGGCACACTTGTCCCCCGAGACCCTGCCTCAACCCTCCCCCACCTCCCCCAGATCACTAAGACTTGCTCTCCCTCTGTCCCCTGCTGCCCCAGCTCCAGCCTCCTCCCTGGCCCCTGGTCCACTCCTCGGGGGACGTGGCCAGTCCTGCCCCACTCCAAACCCTTCCCTGGCTCCCTGCGCCTACAGGAGCCCACTCGGCCTGTCTGCTCCTCCTCGCCCCTGGGGTCTCTGTTGAGTCAGCCCTCAGAGAGGCCCCCAATGGCCCCCCCAGGGTCTCCGCTTGTCTTCAAGGAACCCAGCCTCTACATGCATTTGGGCGTTTACTTCTATTTGGGTGTTTCCTTGCTTACTGTCTGTCTCCCCGCCCAGCTGGAGGCATCAGGAGGGAGGAGCCTCGTCTCTGAGTTCCCTGCTCATCTCCTGCACACAGCAGGTGCTCAATAAACGCTTGGTGGCTGCATGAATGACCTGCTGCCCTCACACTTGGGCCAGACTGGCCTCCTGGCGGTTCTTCTAACTCTGGTGGCCTCCGCAGGGGCTGTGACCTCTAACTGCACATCTGTACCCCCTACAGCCCTTGGCTGTTGACGCGCATCCATCACAGCGCGACCTCCGTCCTCAGTCAAGGTTGGGAGCCAGGCGGTCTGGGTTTGGGTTAGGACCGGACTCAGCTGTGAAGCTGAGACCTCTGACCAGCCTTCCCCTCCCGCTCTGTGTGGACTCCTCCTCTCAGCTCCTGTCTGCCCGCCACTAGGCGCGGGCCCCTCCACGGCAGGGATACGCTTCCCTCCTTCATTGGACAAACCGCTCGTGAGGAGCCCACCTGAGAGTAGGGCTCTGCGCTCCTGAGCAGATGTGGTGACACGCGAGTCCCAGTCCCTGCCCAGCACCCAGAGTCAAGCAAAGAAAACAGATGAGCCTGTCACCCAGCACTCAGGGCTGGGCTAAGGGGGCCCAGAGGAAGCATCAATGCAGGAGGTCTTCCAGGAGGTGGGGTCCCTGGAGCCTTGAACATGTGTAGGATCCAGCTAAGGGGACAGAGCTGGGGTGAAGTGTCCCATCTGCTCCTTCCTGGCTGAGTGCCCCTCACCCCTGTGTCCTGGGTCAGTTGGGCGCGCCTCACCCCCGAGGTGGGCAGTGGGTGAGACCTCCTGGAACCCCGGACAAGACTGCAGGGGCGACAGAGGCCGTGTGTACAGCTGGGGTGGGTCCTGCTTCCTGGTCGCCCACCCTCCTGCCTCCCATTCTTCCCTTCCAGGCCTGAGGGAGAGGGTGGAGGAAGGAGGTGCCACCTTGATTAAGGCTAATTAACCCTTAGCCTGGCAGGCAGGCAGGCGCTGCCCTCTTCAAAGGCACAGCCGGGCTCCATTAACACCCGTCCTACCCCACCCTCCCCACACAGGCTCCCGCTGCCCAAGACCAGACTCGGCATCTCTGCTCAGGGGCTGGGCCTCTCCAGCCCGGCCTGGCGGGGGGCCCTGGCCTTCTGACCGCCCTCTATGGCTTCCTCTCCTGACTCAGCCACCACCAGGCTCCAGGGGCCCCCAAACCTAGAGGCTATTCCTTCTGCTTGGAATGCCTTTCTCTAACTCCTCCCCCAGCAAACCTCCCTCATCTTTCAAGGCCCAGCTCAAGGCCCTCCTCCTCCAGGTAGCCTTCCTGACCTCCCTGCATGCACGCACGCACACACACACACAAACACAGACACACTGCTGTCAGGATGACCCTCCATCGCTCCTGAGCTGCAGCCGTGGTGCAGGGGAGCCCCTCAAGGGCCAGGCTCTGAGATCTCTCTGGATCCCCTATATTGCCCAGCTTGACACAGGTCACCAGGGAGGCCTCTGGCACTATTCGTGGATTGAATAATAGAAAAGGTAGACAGAAGGAGGGGCTAGCAGGGGACGGAAATGAAGGAGCAGAAGGACTGAGGAGTGGGGCCTGGGGTCGGCAAAGATCAGCGCCCCAGACACGAGGTCATCACTGTCCCCAGGCCTGTGATGGCTCCTCTGGCACCCCCCAAACTGATGAGATTGTCGGGGTCACTGGCAAGCCCCTGCCTGCCCTTGCGCCATGACGGTCTCCTCCCCAGGCTTCTGGGCGCGCACGGCTGCCCCTCTCTCTGAAGGTCCTGTACCTCCTTGGATCAAGGCTCCAGAGACCCAAGACCCCACACAGCCTAAGAAACAGCTTGAACGGTGTTGTTTTAGGCAGGAGGAGGCTGGAGGCATTGGGGGTCGTCCTGGTACTTCAAGAGGGAGGGATGGTAAAGCTGAACCCTGGCCTGACACCCAGCATTGGGCCCTTTCCACTCCACTGAACTGGCAGCTGAGAGAACAGGGACCCAGAAAGGGCAAGCCACCTGCCCTGCATCACACAGCCTCTGCCCACAGGGAGGCTGGCAGGGTGGGGGGGTGGGGAGGGGGCTTGACTGGGTGGAAGAGGTGGGAAGGAGCTGGCACAGAGGGGAGGCCAATTCTAGACTTTGGTTTCGGGCGGAGCAGGGGAGAAGCCTGCTTCTGGGGAGGCTGGGAAGTAGCAGGCAGGGGACGTGGGAGCTACCAGGCAGGCTGAGGCGACCAGTGTCCCAGGCCAGAGGGCCAAGGCGCACACTGAGTAGCTCCGGGGACGCTGGAGCATGGAGGGCCTGAGGAAGGAGTCTGTCTGGCAGGGGCAGGCTCCCCAGGCCACACAGCCCCTGAGGAGGGTGGGGGAACCGCCCGCTGGGGATGTGTTGACACGGAAGCGTCCCGCGAGGCGAGGGAGAGGCTCCCTGTTTTGGAGGCTGTGAGCCTGCCGATGAGCTCATGCTCGCCTGCCGTCCGGCGTGTCCCAACAGGGCCTTTCTGACAGAAGCCCGGCTGTTTTGCATCGCTGGGACAACCGCCTGGAGCTCTGGGGGAGACCACACCCTGAGGACGGGCACCACGGGTCCCGTGGTGGCGCACTGGTGGCCAAGCTGTGCACCAGAGGGCTGGGCCCCTGGACCAGCAGAGTGGGGGCTGCGTGGTTCGGAGAGAGACAGGAGGGAGACAGGAGGGGTGGGACCGGGAGAGGGCCCATGCGCACACTCGGAGACACCAACCCCTCATCATCCACTGCTGAGTCCATCCCTGAAGGACTCCCGGGTACGCGGCAGAGCGCAGGGACCGAGGGCAGGGCCATGGGGAGGAGCATCAGGGAGACAAGCTGGACCTATGGGCCACATGAGCTGTGGGAGGAATTGGCAATAGTCTCCCCTGTGGGCGGCTTAGAGGGGAGAGGGGCTCATTCCTTGGTTGGGGCTATCCGGGAGGGCTGCATGGAGGAAGGGACATGCAGAGTCTAGAAAGATCAAGGTGAGCCCTTGAGGTCACAAGGAGGGGACAAGCAGAGCTAGGAGGAAATGGACATGAAGCTCAGTGAGGCTAGGGGCACGGGGGCTGGAGGGACAGCTGTGGCCTGAGTGTGGCCACTCCTGAGGACAGGCTCCAGGCCCTGTCTGGGGCAGCTGGGAACCATCAGGAGGGCTAGGAGCTCAGATCTGGGGCAGCACAGATCTCTGGGATGGTTGGGGGAGGGGGTTCTCCCCAGCAGAGATGCAGCTCAGAGTAAGAGATGCATCCAAGGTGAGGGTGTGACGGTGAACGGGTGGCCAGGAGAGCGATGGGGGAGGTGGGATGGACAGGATGCTCTGGCCTCTTCTCTCCTCTCCTTCCCAGCATCCTCCTTTCTCCAACTGGCAAACTCCTCCTCATTCCTCAAAGCCCACCTCCGGTGGGGCCTCACGGCTGTCCATGTGCCTGGGGAAGCCTACCTCCCAGCCCTCCCCAGGGCCCCGCACCGGCCCCCCCGTACCGTCCCACCAGCAGCAGCTCCCGCTCGCTGGCCCGGGGCCGCAGCCGCCTCCAGATGTCCATGGTGAAGAGGGTGCTGCTGCTGTTGAAGATGGAGGTCAGCGACGACATGAGCGCGGCCATCATCACAGCGACCATCAGCCCCCGCAGACCTGGGGTCAGGGAGGGGCCACTGAGACCCGGCCTGGGCCCTGCCCAGGCCCCGTGAGCCCCTCCTGCCCGTCGCTCTGTCTGAGGCCCCACCCCCAGCATCAGCCATTCACAAGTCCCTGAGGGTCAGCAGGGAGGGCCGGGGGGTGTTGGAGGTGGTGGAGAAAGACCCCGACCCTGGAGGAGAGGCTGAGGACACACCAGGAGACTTCTCAATGTGCTGCTTGAGCCCGCGGCTGCTGCCACGACGATCACAGCTGTGGCTGCTCCTACTGTCGGGCTATTATCAGACCTCGCTTCTGCAGAGCCCCGAGTTGACACAGCGCTTTCACAGCCGTGACCCCAACTGAGGGAGGGATTATTAACCCGGTCGACAGGTGAGGGAGTGGAAGCTCAGAGAGAGGAGGCCAGTGGCAGAGGGGCCCACAGCAGGCCAGAGGCAGGACTCTGAGGTGTCGGGGGGAGTGGGGAAGCCCTGGAGGGCCCTCGGCTTGGAGGTCACACCTTGGACAGGGCAGTGGCCCCAGGGTCTGGGGTTTCCCCTCACTTCTGTGCATGGCAGGCCTTAGCAGGCACAGGGGATCCCCTTCCTCTTTAGTTCTGTGGAAGACGAGATGCGGCTCCCCAGCAGGGAGAGAAAAAGCTGCCCCGTGACTGGCTGAAGACGAGTGAGGGGTCCCCATAGAGGTGGGCGAGGCACTGCTGTCTAACACCTCCCAAGAGTCGTGGGCTCGAGAGGCAATGAGGGTGGGGAGGACCCAGGGCTGTGTGGCTTCAGGCTGGTCACCTCCCCTCTCTGGACCTTGGTCTGAGTCTGTCTCCGAGGCCTCTTGCACTTTTTCTTCAAGAATCTAAGCACCTCCTTCACCTCTGCAGATTCCCTGCCTGTCTGTCCTCCACCCCCTGCCCTAGAACAAGCCTGACCCAGGCCCCCCCTGCCCTGAGGGCTCAGCCTTACAGGTGCTGATTATTGCCTGGCCGGGTTGCCTGGCCCTGGTCCTGCATCAGACCTGCTGTGTGACCTCCGGGCATGCCATGCCCTCTCTGTTCACTCATCAGGCTAACTGGGATGGGGCCCAAAGGAAAGTGAGTCCAATCGTGGCTTTCTCCAAAACAGTTCTCCACCCTTCTTCTTGCCCAGGGAGGTGGATTAACTTGGGGCTTACTCTCCACCCACTTCTCAGACAGGGAGCTCAAGGCCTAGAAAGGGGCTGTGGCCCAACAACAGCTGGGTGCCAGCCCTGGGGGGCTTAGTGAGCCCCCTAGAACAGAAGGGGAAGGTGAGGCCCAAAGGTGGGACCCACAAGGCAGCCGAGCCTTGCGCCAGGCCGTTCCTGTCTTATTATGTTTAATCCCAGCAACCACGCCGACGGGCGGGTAGGCATCATTATCCCCAATTTACAAATGAGGACACGGAAGCTCTGGACAGGGAAGTGACATGCCCCAAATCTCCACCAGAGAATGCCAGGGCTGAGATATGATCCCAGGTCTGTGCACTAAGGGGTGGAAAGGAGGAGCAGCCAGAGGGAGGAAGGCAGACACTCAAGGGTCTGAGAATCAGAGCTGAAACCCTTGAGCTGCAAAGGGCCTCAGAAAGCCGTCTCCCCTTCTTGCTTAGGTGGGACCTCCCACACCCCTCGTCATGTCGCCTGGCTTGACTGGGAACTCACCACCCCATATCAGACTGGCGGGGCTGCTGCTGCCACAAGAAATGTGGAAAAGGACAGAACCTGCCCCTTAGTTCTACTCGTCGGCCTGCCGTCTCTCCGGGGAGGCAGAGGGTGCAGACCCCATGGGGGCTTGAGCTCCTGGTCCTGCAGAGTAAGCAGTGGGCTCGGGCCAGACAGACTGGGGTTTGTGTCTCAGCCACTCTGTAGTCCAAGTCACTTTCCCCTCCCTGTGCCTCAGTTTCCCCCTCTGTAAAATGGAGCTAATGACTCTACCACATAGCCTTAAATGAGAAGCAGTTTGTAAAAGGGTCTGGCACCCAGCAGGCCTGAGAGAAGAGAAACTGTTGACCTTCCTCGAGAGATGGCCCAGCACAGGCTAAGAGGACAAGCTCCAGAGGCAGATTATCCGGGTTCAGACCCCACCTTTGCAGCTCACTTGCCACGTGACCTTGGCCAGGTCAGTTAACCTCTCTGGGTCTCAGTTTCCCCGTCTGTAAAATGGGGGTGATGATAACAGCACCTCAGCTTTTCGAAAAGCGGATGCAAGTTAACCACGTGTGCAGCCTTTGGAACAGTGGCGGGCCCACGGTGGGTGCTAGGGGAGTGTTTCCATTATCTTCACCTTCCTCTCTTCCCCGTGAGCAGAACATCCTACCTGGAGGTCACAGAGTCTGGATCCAGAGTGGCCTCCCAGGCCCCAGGGCCCCCGCCCTCCTTGGGCCCACCCGAGGTTCCACCCCACACCCACCCGGACCCACCCAGGCAGCTCACCTACGGGCATCAGTTCCATGACCAGCTTGGGGTAGGCAATGTTGGAGCAGCCAATCTCAGCCCCGCAGGCCCGCAGGCACTCAGACGGCACCACACAGCCCACGTCATCTGCGTGAGAGGGATGCCCAGGGTCCCACACCGGCCACACAGCGCCCCTCCTGGAGATGTGAGCACCTCGGGTGGGCAGGACCTGGCTGAGGGGGGAGCCTGGCCTGGACCTGCTCTGTCACCATCTCTGACCAGCTGCTGCTGGTCCTCAGTTTCCCAGTCTGGGTCACAAGGAAGGGGCTGGCCTCTGAGAACTATTCTGGCCTCTAACCAGAATAGTTAACTCAGTCTGACTCTTTTCCTGCCTGCTGTCCTCCATCACAATGCCTTCTCCCTGTCCCCATGCCTTCCAGCCAGGCCTGTGTGAGCAGTCCACCGTTCAGCCCCTCTGGGGCACTAGTCCCCCTCCCCGCCTCCTGCCCCCAGCCCCACAGGGGGAGGTGGAGGCTAGAGAGGGGAGACTTCTCTCACCCCTGGGTCCAGAGCTTTAGGCCAAGGGCATTTTCCCTGCCGCCCCAGCCCAGCTGTCTCCAACAGCTTCCTAGGGCTCAAAACACAAGGGGAGCCAGACCAGCCCCTGCCCAGGACTCTCCAGTCCTCCACCGCTCAGCAGTCCACAGGACCCTCCACCATCCGCACTCCTGACTCCTCGGCGCCTGTCTCCTTCCCTGCTGCCTCTCACCACCGCCAGCCACTGGGCCTTCCTGCCCATTCTCCACAGCAGCCTCCCTCTCTGTGAGGCCTTTGCTCTCCCAGTAGGACTGGCTCAGAAGTCCCCTCCTCCACCTGAAATAAACCCGCCCCACTCCTCCCGCCCCCCTCGCCCACATCACTTTCCTCCCTTGGACCATGGGAAGCCCCCCTTGGTGCCTTGGCCTGGGCTCTGATGGGGTTCCGGGGGTGCTGCCTAGACTGCCTCACCCACCCACCCACGCAGCCGGTCGGGGGTGCGTCCCTGCCTGGCTCTCCAGCACAGTATAGACAGCGGACAGAGTCAGCCCCGTGTTCGCTTGTTCCTCCACCAGATACTTCCTAAACACCTTTGCCCCAGACCCCTGGATTTTCAGCAGGGGCCCGCAGAGCGGAGCATGATGGCGATTATGGGGAAAGTTCAGAAACAGAAGCCCCCACCAGCTCCGAGGGGCCTGTTTGGGCGGTAAAGTTTCCACATGGGCATCAACGTTTCTGTGACTCGGTCCTCCCTGTGCAGACCAGGCACTCCTGCGTGACGCACTGTCCCCTCCAAATGCTCCTTCTGAAAGGTCTCTCGTTAGATGCCCGACCCCCCGGGGGGTCTCAGATCCCTTCCTCTAGGCCAGCGGGGCTGGAGCAGCGCACCCCCACACGACCCTATCCCCCTCTCGAGTCCAGCTCCTCTTGAGCTCCAGGCTTCCAGAACACCTGCTCCCTGTCACCCCCCCAGGCACCTCCAACCAGACTCATCCCCTCCCCCGCTTGTCCCAGTGATGCCCCCCTCCTCCCTCCTCCCTCTTCCCTCCCCCACGGCCGCCAGCCCCCCAGTCCCGGCTTCTCCTCCCATTGCCTGCGGCTTCACTCAGCTCCAGCCTCCATGGCCTCTCTACAGCCTGGGCACTGGCTCCCCTGCCCCTCCGTCCTCCCCAGCTGGTCAAAATCACAGCTGTGCTCACACCACTGACGTCTCAGGAACCCCTCCTACCCTCAGCCCTGGAGCCCAGGGCTTCCTGGAAAAAGTCCTTTCCACGGCATTAGGGGCCCTTGACAACCGGTCCCAGGTCCTCCCCCCTGGCACCCGCGCGCCGGCCACCGTGACCCGCTTGTGCTTTCTCACACGCCCAGCACCTGCACGCCTCCAGGCCGTGGCAGACGCTGCGTCCCTACCCTTGTTTACCTCCTGCTTCACGGCCACTGCAAAGGGCTTGTCCTCTGAGGCCTTCCCGGACTCTCTCCCGCCCCTCAACCAGGGCAGAGCAGCTTCTTCCCAAGGGTTCCTATGCACACGGGTTGAATCACAATTGTTTGTTGCATATACTTTACCTCCCCCACCAGACTGGGAGCTCCCTAAGGGCAGACACTGGGCTTGAATCATCTCCCAGGCCCAGGTCTCACTCTGTTCAGGGCTGGGCCCAGAGATGTTCTGTGAACAGTTGTGAATGAATGAGTGAGTGAGCAAGTGAATGGCCGGGAGGAAGGAAGAAAGGCACAGGAGGAGAGGAGGAGAGGGAGAAAGGATCCCAGAAAGAGCCATGAAGGAGTTCAGGCACTGTTTGATCTAGCCTCCCTGCCCTATCATCTCCACCCCCACCAGTTGTGCAGATGAAAGAACTCAGGACCAGAAAGGACGTAACTTGCCTGAGACACACAGTCAGACCCAGGGCAGAGCCCGGGATCCCATAGCAGGAATCTGGGGCTACTGGGGTCCAGCAGTCAGAGGGTAGGTGATGGGCCCCTCTTGACAGGTTCGGGGCCTTGACAGGCCAGCTCTGGCACTTGCAGGACCCAACCCTCCTGGGAGGGACAGGAGAGGAGTCACAGCCACATAATGGCTCAGAAAGCCCGAGTCAGGAGATTCTGGCCGAGTTTATTCAGCCCATTCCAGGCTCCAGGCATGGGACACTGCCCCGGGCACCACTGGCTCACCTGGGCTAGTGCTGAACAGCAGAAAAGAACAACCTCTCCTTTATGATAGCAGCAGAGGCGTAGCTGCTTAAACAAAGTCCCCTGAATGTGCCAACTCGGGAGTGAGAAGCCCCAGGCCAGCAAGGGCTAGGGAACGGGGTGGGGGGCTCTGGGTTTGCCGGAGCACCAGCTTCCCTGGGCCTGGGACCCCTCACCGCTGGGCTCCACGTCCGCATCAGCACCCCACCCAGGCAGGTCCCATGCCAGAAGCCTGGGGATGCCCTCTCCTTGCCCCCAACATCCTCTCTCCCTGCGGCCAATGGCAAGTCCAGCCACTAGGCTTAGTGATCAGGGGAACCACCGCTCCTGCCGCGCCGCCCTATCCCCTCTAGCCCACCCTCCTGCAAGCAGCAAAGGGAACTCCTCAAACCACCAGTCTGCCCCCATTCCTATTCGCCCTTCTGGGGCTCCCTACCCCTGTGGGAGGGGTCACGCGACTCAAACGGTGCCACTCACGGCCCTCCACCCACTTGGCCCCCCTCATCCTGCCCATTGCACCCAAACCTCTGGGCCTCTGTGTTTGCTGTTCCCTCTCCCTGGAATACCCTTCCCTCCTCCATAAGCCCCGGGAACTCATACTCATTCCTCTCAACTCTGTGGATGTCTGGGCTCCCGAGGATCAGGGCAACCTCCTCCACAGCACCCATACCCCTCTGCCCTGCGTCTGTCCTGCCTCCCCACAGACTGTGACCATGGGGGCCCAGGGAGGAACCAGGCCCCAGCAGAGCCCAGCACGAGCCAATGCAAGACAGGCTCTGCCGGAGTTTGTTGACTGACTGAATGACCCTTTCCCAAGCTGGCCACTGGATACACCACCCTGAGAAGTAATCAAGGTGCTCCCCACTCCCCAGCCAGGCCTGGCTCATCCCTGGGAACCCGTCCAGACGTCAGTGTCGCAGTGGTGAGCCGGGGAAAGCACGCAGACCCGGGTTCGAGTCTGGCTTACTGTGGATCCTGGGTGATTGTTCTCTGCGCTGTTTCCTCCTCTGTAAAACCCTCCTGGGGACATCCAGCCGCCAGACACTCGACTTCAACCTCAACTGCACACCTTACACCAAAATTAATTCAAAATAGATCACAGATTTAAATGTAAAACTATCGAACTTTCAGGGAAAAAAATAGGAGGACATCTTTGGGACCCGGGGCAAGATGAGAGGTTTTAGTCTTGAGTCAAAAGCGTGACCCGTAAAAGGAAAACCTGACACTTTAGAGTTCAGCAAAATCAGCAGCTTTCGCTTTGTGTGAGACATCTGTGAAAGGATAAAAAGAAAAGCTACAGAAATAAATTCAGTAAAGTTGCAGGATACAAAATCTATACACGAAAATCAGTGGCGTTTCTATACACTAACAATGAGCTATGAGAAAAAGAAAGTAAGAAAAAAATCCCATTTACCATTGCATCAAAAAGAATAAAATACTTAGGAATAAATTTAACCGAGGAGGTGAAAGACCTGTACACTGAAAACTAGAAGATATTGATGAAAGAAACTGAAGAAGACACAAATAAATGGAAAAATATTCATGCTCATGGATCGAAATAATTCATATTGTTAAAATGTCAGTACTACCCAAAGCGATCTACAGATTCAATGAAATCCAGATTCAATGGTATTTTTCATAGAAACAGAAAAAACAATCCTAAAATATTTGTATGGACTCATAAAAGATCCTGAGTAGCCAAAGCAATCTTGAGAAAGAAGAAGAAAGCTGGAGGAATCACACTTCCTGATATCAAACTACATTACAAAGCTATGTAATCAGAACAGCATGGTACTGGCACAAAAACAGACAGACAGATCAATGGAACAGAATAGAGAGCCCAGAAACAAATCCACACATATTCAGTCAATTAATTTACGACAAAGGAGCCAAGAACATACAATGGGGAAAGGATAGGCTCTTCAATAAATGGTGCTGGGAAAACTGGATAGCCACATGCAGAAGAATGAAACTGGATGCCTGTCTCACACCATACACAGAAATTAACTCAAAATGGATTAAAGACTTGAACACAAGACCTGAAATCATAAAACTCCTAGAAGAAAACATAGGTGGTAAGCTCCTTGACATCGGTCTTGGTGATGATTTTTTTGGATTTGACACCAAAAACAAAGGCAACAAAAGCAAAAAGCAACCAGTGGGACTACATCAAACTAAAAAGCTTCTGCACAGGGGCTGGCCCCGTGGCCGAGTGGTTAAAGCCTGGTGCGCTCCACTTTGGCGGCCCAGGTTCTCGGGTTCAGATCCCGGGCACGGACTACTCCACTCATCAGCCATGCGATGGAGGCAAGCCGCGTGCAAGGTAGAGGAGGACTGGCACGAATGCAAGGTCATGGTGAATCTTCCTCACCAAACAAACACTTCTGCACAGCAAAGGAAACCATCAACAAAATGAAAAGGCAAACTACGGATTGGGAAAAAAATATTTACAAACCAACTATCCGATAAAGGGCTACTATACAAAATATATAAAGAATTCATATAACTCAATAGCAAAAAATCCCCAAACGATCTGATTTAAAAATGGGCAAAGGAACTGGATAGATATTTTTCCAAAGAAGACATACAATGGCCAACAGGCATGTGAAAAAATGCTCAACATCACTAATCATCAGGGAAATGCAAATCAAAAGCACAGTGAGATATCACCTCACACCTGTCAGAACGGCCATCGTCAAAAGGACAAGAGACAACACGTGTTGGCGAGGACGTGGAAAGAAGGGAATACCTGTGTACTGATGGTGAGAATGTAAATTGGTGTAGCCACTACGGAAAATAGCATAGCAATTCCTCAAAAAATTATAAATACAACTACCACGTGATGATCCAGCAACCCCACATCTAGGTTACACATATTAAGGAAATGAAATCACTAACTCAGAGAGGTATCTACACCCCCACGTTCACTGCAGCTTTATTCACAATAGCCAAGATACAGAAACAACCTAAGTGTCAATCAACAGATGAATGGATAAAGAAGATGTGAGATAAATCTATATAACGGAATATTATTCAGTCATGAGAAAGAAAGATCCTGCCATTTGCAACAACATGGGTGGAACTTCAGGGTATTATGCTAAGAGAAACCAGTCAGACAGAGAAAGACAAATACTGTATGATATCACTTATATGCAGAATCCAGAAATGCTGAACTCATAGAAGCAGAGACTATAATGGTGACTGTCAGGGGCTTGGGGGTGCGGGAAAAGAGGAGATGTCAAAGGGTACAACTCCCAGCTATAAGATGAATAAGTTCTGGGGATCCAATGTACAGCATAGTCATTACAGTTAATAGCATTGTATTATATACTTGAAAAAAAAAAAAGAAAAGCTACAGACCAGGAGAAAATATTTGCAGACCACATACCTGAAGAACACCTTGTAGTAGAACGTATAAAGAGCTCTCAAAAGTCAACGGGAAACACCAGGCAATCCTATCAGAAAATGGACAAAACCCACCAACAGACATTTCTCTGAAGAGCACACACAGACAGCAAAGAAGCACATGAACGAGTGTTCAGTGTTACAGTCATCAGGAAAATGCAAACTAATGCCACAGTCAAGAGACTATCACCGCCTATCAGCACAGCTAAAATAAAACAGCAGCGGCAAGAGAACACGCAGGCAGGGATGGGGAGAAGCTGGATCACTCACACATTGTTGGGGGAATGTAACAGATACATAATGTAATATGCACAAGTATATGTATATGAATTAATTTGTGTAATTTGTCTATGAATATTCATAGCAGCTTTATTCATAATAGCCCAAAACTGGAAACAACCCAAATGTCCTTCAACAGGTGAAAGGGTTAAACAAACTACGGGCCACCCATACCATGGAATACCAGTCAGCAACAGAAAGGAGCAAGCCACTGATACACACCCACCGGATGAATTGCCAGAGATGGAGAGCGGGTTAGTGGTTCCAGGGGTTAGGGATGGAGGTGTGGGTGTGCTGTAAGGAGGGAGATCTTGGTGGTGAGGGAGTAGTGCTGCATTTTGATTGTGATGGTGGGGACACAGATCTACACATGTGATAAGGTTGCATACATCTACACACACACACAGGAGCACATGTACACGGGTGAATCTGTGCACGCTCCGGACGGCGCCAAGCTCTTGTTCTGGCCACAGTATTCCTGTCCTACAGCTATGCAAGATGACACCATTGGGGGAAACTGGGTGCAGGCAACCCTTTCTGTTGGTGTTTTTAAACAACTTACTGTGAATCCATAACTATGGGCAGGTAACTGCAGAGGTTGGAGGGCCAGAGGCCTGTCAGGCCTGAGAGCCAGGACTCCGGGCATGAGCCCAGGGCCTCTGCGCAGTGGTGAGGACAAAAGGGGAAGCTGAGGCCCAGAGGCTTCAGGACCCCTGGGCAGCGCTCACCTACTGGACCGCCTGGGTGGGGAGGATGCAGGCAGGTGTGCATGGACCCGGGGGCAGTTGGGGGCACCTGTGGGACTGCTCAGGGAGGGGCAGGCGCCTGGTCTCTGGGGCCACTAAGTTCAGACACAGTGTGACACCCCTGGGGCCAGGGTGGAGGGCAGGACTTGAGGCTTGAGGGGTCTGTGATGGGGACCAGAGGGGTGCTGGGGCCAGGAGAGGGAGTCACTGCTCAGGGCAGTGGACCCAGGTGGGAAGGCCTGACAGGCAGATGCATGGTGGTGAGGGTCCTGGGGTGGGGGGTTCACTGCCCAGACCTGGAGATGTCACCAGCTGGCCCTCAGCAGCACAGAGCTGTGTCCTCAGAGCCCCAATCCCAGCCTGAGCACAGAGCAGCCCCATCCAGGGCAGGTGTGGGGGCTGGGAGGGAAGGGCTGGGCCACTGCCTGGCTGACTGGCTGCGGCACGCGACGGGGTGGGGGCTGTTTGTCCCGCCAGCTTTAATGGGCTTTGCTTTCCCCGCCCTGGCAGCCTGCTTTCAGATGTGGTCCCCACACCCCCCCATAACTGGGGTCCCAAGCCTCAGGGACGCCAGGCAGAGAGCTGGGCCTGACCCCAGCCCACAGCAGCCCTCTCTGGCCCTCCCCGCCCCCGGGTCCAGGTGGGGGGCTCATCATGCAGGACCAGCCCTGGGTGGGCATGTGGGGGAACCCTCCCAGCAGGGAGCGGGGCCTGGGACTAAGAACTGGGTACCTGTTCTGTCCACACCAGGCTCTGTGAAGGCTCCTGAGGTTGGGTCAGACCGTGCCCTACCCCTGCCTTGGGGGCTCCCAGTCCAGTACCCCAACTCTACTTCCACAACTGGACAGCTGGGCATCTGTAGGGACTTTCTGTGCCACCAGGGAACTGGCACAGGTAGGGTTGGACCAGGGTTACCAACAGGCAATGCGGGCAGAGAGGGGTGCTAAGGCTGTTAACTTGCTGTGTGGCCTCAGGATGAGCACTGTCCCTCTCTGGGCTGCAATGTTCCAGAAGCTCTTGGACTTTGGTCATTGAGCTTTTCAGAATTTGGCTATGTCCGTCGCGGCGGGAGGTGAATCAGCTTCCGGCCCCGCCCCCAAGGCCGCACGTGACCGCAGGTGGCGGCGGCGGCGGCGCGGGCAGGGTGGGCGGGGCGGCATTTAGTCACCGGTCCGCCGTCTGTGCGCCCGCTCTCCCGCGCGGCTCCTCTCGCCGGCTCCGCGCCGCCCGCTCGCCCGCCCGCCCGGTAAGGAGTCCCGGCCCGCGTCCCCGGACCCCGGGCCGCCGGGGCGCCGGCGCCCGCCCGCCGCACTTCCCCGAGCCTCCTCCAGGCAGGCCCCTCGGGTTGCCGCTCGGGCGCCCGGGGGTTTTAAGACCCCCTCCCTTCCCGGAAGCCCTCGGGTGCGGGGCGCCGCTGAGCAGAGCCAGGGGCCGTCCGGGTTCCGTCTCCTGCTCCCACTCTTGGAGACTTCTGTGGAGTTCCCTGCCCGCCATAGTTCCCCCCAGAAGTTGCCTGGACTTCAGGCAGCTCCAGAAATCCCCTGGGATTGGCCCCTTGGCAGACACACCCGGCCCTGGGCTGCGCCCCGCCCGGTCTCTGGCCCTGCGGCCCCCCCGCCCGGCCCCTCCCCGGGCCCTGCTGCACTCTGGCCTGACCCTGCCTTCTCCCCTCTCCCGCAGGCTCCGTATGGGCAGAGCAGCAGAGGCGGCTGGGAGGCCCGGAGCGCGCTGTGCCCCGGCCGGCGGAGTCAGGATCCGACCTTGCCGCGCGTCCCGTCGCCCGCCCAGCCGGCAGAAGCGCCCCGGCAGGTGGCACCATGGCCTTCTCCCAGGTGCAGTGTCTGGACGACAGCCACGTCAACTGGCGCTCCAGCGAGTCCAAGCCCGAGTTCTTCTACAGCGAGGAGCAGCGGCTGGCGCTGGAGGCCCTGGTGGCGCGCGGCCCCGAGGCCTTCTACGAGGTGCTGAAGCGGGAGAACATCCGAGACTTCCTCTCGGAGCTGGAGCTCAAGCGCATCCTGGAGACCATCGAGGTGTACGACCCGGGCTCTGAGGACCCTCGGGACACGGGCCGCCCCCGGGAGCCCGAGGACGACGGCGTCGGGGACGCCGAGGAGGCCAGCGGGGCAGGTGGGGTCCCCACCGAGGCTGAGCCACTGCCCTCGCTGGAGTACTGGCCCCAGAAGTCGGACCGCTCCATCCCGCAGCTGGACCTGGGCTGGCCGGACACCGTCGCCTACCGTGGCGTGACCCGGGCCAGCGTCTACATGCAGCCCCCCATCGACGGGCAGGCCCACATCAAAGAGGTGGTCCGCAAGATGATCACCCAGGCGCAGAAGGTGAGCCGGCCGGTGGGCGGGAGTCCCCGGCCCCCAGCGTCTCTACCGCCTCCGGGCACGCCCCCTCAGAGCCCAGCCCGGTCTCTTGGCCGCCTCCGTGGCGATCTCCCCTCTTGTCTTCATGGGGCTCCTCAGTGTCTTTGCGGAAGGATAGGGTGCCCAGGTCCTCCAGTAGGTGATGGTGGGCTGCCCCGTCTCAGAGGGCCTTTGTGCACTGTTTTGGGGGTGTTTGTGATTTCCGCAGACGTGTGAGCAGGTTCCCCGGAGGAAGGTGCTGCGTGGGGGTGGGGTGGGGGGGAGTGGAGTCTCTCCCTTACTGTCCCTCGGGATGGCTCTGATTCACCCCGGAGAAGCAACAGGCACTCACACACACTGCGAGCTCTCTGGTGTTGCTTTTGTTGGGTGGTGGAGACAGCCTGGGGTGGGGGAGTTGGCATGGAGACTGAGAAGTAGTCTGAGTCGTCTGAGGCTGGCCTGGAGATCTGAGTTCAAGTGTGTGTTTCTTGACTGTGCTGGGTCACTGAGAGCGAGTTCCTCACTCTCTCTGAGCCTCTTCATGAGCTTTGCAATGGCAGAACCTTTCCAGGCTGGGATGTGGGGGTGGAGATGGTGTGGTCCTCAGGGGTGGAAGCGGAGTGATTCCAGCGAAGCGTTGTCCACTGGGTGGAATTTTGCCACTATAAGGGACCTCCAGCATTGTCTGGACCTTCCCTTCCCCACCCCTGCCGAGCTGTGCAGTGTCCCCCTTGTGGGTGACCATTCTCGGCTCACACACCAACACACAGTCTGAGGAGGGGTGCTTGCCACTTGCAGACAGCCAGGCCATTGCTGGCCAGCCATGGCCATGAGCCAGTGCCTCTTGCTGCTGAGCAGAAGTGCCTTTTCTTGGTTTCAAAGCACATCCTGACATGATTGATAAAGCCTGCCCAGTGAGCTGTGTTGGGAAGGATTCTGAAGCCAGGTCTGGGCTCAGCAGAGACCTATGTCTGTCCTGGCCTTGGGTTGTGGGGCTGAGGTATTTCTAGCAGGGTTTAATCCCTTTAGTGTTCCAGGCCCAGAGCGGGGCAGCAAATCACACAAGACCCGAACGCTGGCTTTGGGACCCTCGTGGCTGACAGACAGGGCCTAGGGGAGCTCAGGGGCAAAGACAGAGAAGTGGGTCAGGAGCTGATGAGGTGGCCACAGCTTGAGTTTCCAGAAAGGTGGAATCCCTGCCCCCGAGGGGTGGCCGAGTCAGATGCCTGAGTCAGGGAGCGTGGCTCCGGCCTGATCCCAGGCAGCTCTGGGGCTTCGGCTTTTGGTCTGTGAAATGGAGGTGGGGGATGAAGCCACATCTCGGGCTGTGGTGAGGATGGAGTCTGGTGACGGGCATGAGGAAGAGCTGGAGGAAGAGGAGGGGAAGCGGGGGAGGACGAGGCCCATGTAGTTTTCAGGCTGAATAACCTGCCCCACACCTGCCGTGGGGTAGCAGGGTGCTGCGGACGTGGGTCCTGACGTCAAGCCGTGGAACCCAGTCCCCTGGAGGGCCTGTTGGGATCCCATTACCCTGCCTCCACTCCCTTTTTAAAAGCTGGGAAGCTGAGGCCCTGGGTCGGGGGGGCTGGACCTACTGTGCCAGGGTCCCCCTCCCCCCTGTGCCTCTCCTGAGGAGGGAGGAGGGAGACTCAGGTCCCAGCGTGGCATGGGAACAGCAGGAGAGTCTCATGTCCCCCAGACAGAAAGACCGGCAGCCTGGTCCAGTGAGGAGTCCAGAGAGGGGCACCGGGGCCAGGCTGGGCCCCAGGGCATCCACCCCACATGTCTATGGCCAGGGCTGAGACCCAGCCACCCCAGCAGTCCCGTGGGGCCCCCATAACTTCATCTGCTCCCCACAAAAGCCCCACAAGGTCGCAGCATCACTGGTCTAAGGGGACATAGCCAGGAAGAAGTCCCTCTCAGGTTTGAGCCCCGTCTGTGTGGCACCAGATGGTGCCTTGGTGCCTTTGTGCAGCCCCCCGACAGGGAGGCATTGCCCCCCTGCTTTCCTCCCACTCAGAAGGGGGCTCGCTGCTGAGCCTGTCCGCCCACTCTCAGTGGCGGGAGCCTCCCTCACAGGCCCAGCGGGAGGGGTCTCAGGCGGTGGAGGCCGAGCGTCTCATCTTCCAGACGGGGACACTGAGGCACGGAGGGGCAGAGGGATGGTTCACACCCCACAGCACTGTGGTAAGCCCAGCCCCTGCTGCCCAACCCGCGTTCCTGTCACATCCACCCCAGACCTGTGGCCAGAACGCCGGGTGCCTGGGCCGGCTACGGTAACAACGGCTGCTGCTGACGGCCATGCACCGCCCACGTGTCGGTCACAACGGAGCGCGTTATGTGGCGGCCGTCCCAGAGGATTCGTACCAAACGGCCCAGCTGTGGAGTAGGGGTGTGTAAGTGCACTCCGTGATGTTCGCACAACCACACAGTCGCCTGACGATGCATTTCTCAGACCGTGGCCCAGTGCTGAGCGACACCTGACCTACTGAGTGTGAGGCCCTTCACAGTCTCAGGTGGCCTTATCTGCCCCACTTTTCAGATGCAGAAACTGAGGACCAACTGGTTAGTCCCTGCCCAGGTCACCCAGCTAGTTCTTGGTCGGAGGGCTGGGGACCAGGCCAGTCCGAGTTGTCCTCGGACTCTAGGATGGGTCCCCTGCCTGTCCTGCCCTGGCCTTGGCAGGACACAGTGACAGACAGGGCAAGGAGGGGCAGCTCATCCTCCCCCTTCCCTGCTCCAGCTGCTCCCCAGGCTCGCAGGGGCGGGGCAGTGATGCTGACAGATGCTGATGGGGCACCTTGCCTGGTCCGCCCGGAACTCTCCCTACCTTCTCCCTCCCCATGAATCACCTCTTTCCCCCTCGCCCCCGCATCTTCCTCTCACCCCCATATCAATGAAGAGAGAATGCCCACCCCCGCAGCCCGGGGATGGGGATCTTGCTGGCCGGCTGCCTGGCCCAAACACTGGCCCCCTGCCCACCAGGGCACCTGGGCTGGGGCTGCTGGCGCTGAATCAGGGTGGCCCAGCCCGCCACCTCCTCAGCCTGGCTGTCATCAGCAGGCAGGTAGACCCTGGGGCAGGGAAGTGACACAGCACACACTCAGCCTGCCCCAGCTCTGCCGCCAGGGAGTGGCTGTGTTCCCGTCAGGGCTCCCACCGGGTCCCCCTTTCTCAGAAGACTAGAATGGAACCAATGGGCCACAGTACCAGGAGTGCTGGGGTCAGGTCCCTGCTCTGCCTCCATCGCTGTGTGACCCAGCACAAGCCCAGCTCGTCTCTCAGCCCCAGTCATCCCACCTGTAAAACAGGTACAGGCATTGAAGACTGTTGAGGCTCCCCTCAGCTCTGACGCCCCGCTGCCCTGTGATTCTAGACCCCTCTGGGACAGAGACTGAGGGTCTGACTCCACTGGCTGTGTGCCCCTGAGCGGGCAGCTGGTGCTCTCTGAGCCGGTTTCCGGCCCCAGTGGTCTCCAGCGCTCCAAGATGGAAGGTCGTCTGCCTGCCCCTCCCCCGGCCCCCAGGAGCCAGTGATTTCTCTGGGAGAAACCTGCCGTGGGGTTCCAGCTGCATACCAGAGGCCTGTAGCATCACGCCTGGGAGGGCCGAGCCCCGGCCTTGCTTGGCTGCAGCCTCTGAGGGAGGGGCGAGGCTGGGCTGGGGAGGGACTGCCTCAGCAGTCTACCTCGGGGTCTCCTGCCCTGCCGATGACAGGCCAGAGCAGAATACAGATGTTCTAGTTGGTTGTTCTTCCAGGAGATGCTGAACGCCCCACACACACACAGTGGGGGGCAGGATCCCTTCCCAGCCCCAACAGCCCGGGGAGGCCTCAGGGGCGGGGGCGAATCATTGTAGGTGAAGAAAGGGGGAGAATAAGTGGCGAAGGCTGGGCTAGAACCCAGATCTCACGCCGGCCTGGTCAGGGCTTGGGAATAGAGACCCAGAGAAGTCAAGTGTCTTGCCTGGGGCCGCACAGCAGGAAGGGAGTGGAACCGGGTTTCACTGGTTTCACGGCTGATCAACCCGTCTCTCCTCTCAGACCCCCGCCTTCACATGCTGCAGTCCTGGCTCCCAGCTTGGCTCCGGGAGAATAAAAGCAGCTTAATGAGGCAGTTATTAAATGCCAGCTGCACACCAGGTGCTGAGCAGGCACTTCACCCACACTGTCAGCCTCTCAGCAGCTCCATCAAGAGGGTGTTGTCTCCACTGTGCAGAAGAGGAAACTGAGGCCTGGTGGGGCTCAGAGATGGCGAATAACTTGCCAAAGCTCACAGAGCTGATAACCGGAGGAGCTGGGCCCAGAACCAGGTCTGCAGGCTCTGGGCCCCCTTTTCCCTAGAGAAGCAGCATCTTGGCTGTTCTTTCTGAGCCCTGCCTCTCATGGGAGCCTTGGAGCCTCCAGCCGGCCCCCAGCTTGACTCAGGACAGTAAAAGGATTTTCACAAAGCTCCGTGTCCCCATCAGGCTCCCAGACGCTGGGCTCGCCGGCAGGGGACAGAACTCTGACTACACCAGGACTGAAGAGAGCGGGGCCATGGGAGCCAAGACCACTGTGGGTCCCTGCAGACCAGGAGGGAGGGCTTTCACCGTCCCTGAGCTAGACAGTACCAGGACAGCCTCAACACCTTGAGAGGCCCAAGGGTGGCCCAGGCGGCTGTTCTCAGGGGCACGCTGGAGCCCCGAGGGGCAGCAGCCAGCCTGGCTCGTGCAGTGGGTCTGGGAAGTTGCCTGCTGCCTGCTCCAGCAGTTCCCAGCCTAGTGCCCAGGGCCCTCACCTGCCCAGTGGGGAACCATCTGATAAGAGAATCCCAGGTGTTGGCTCCCGTCTTCTCCAAGGGCTTCCTACCCCCCGGCGTTTGCGTCTTAATTGAGTTTTGGGAGAGTCACGAGCAGCTCTGCCAGGAAGGAGGGCCGGCCCCTCTGGGCCGGGTGCACGCCCGGCTCCCCGTGCACTCACACCGCCAGCACTGCCCTCCCTCCCACGACCCCGTGAGGTGGCGCCTGTCGTCACAGGCATGTCACAGATGAGGATACCAAGGCTCAGAGTGGGCCAGGGCCTGCCGAAGGTCACACTGGGGTCTTTGGCCTGGCAGGCCTAGATTGGGCTCCACAGAGCCACAGTTTCCCTGGTTCGGCAGGCTCACTCTGAAGCCAAGCATCCTCCCCCTAGGCCAGCCGAGAGGGCTGGTCTTCTCAGAGGCCCCTGGCTCACCTGTCCAGCTCAGCCACCCCCTTGACGCACGACCTTGGGCCTCAGCTTCTTCATCTGTAAAATGGAGATTAAGGCAGGAATAGTCCTGAGTGCCTACAGGATACTGAGCACCCAGGGGCTGCTCAGCGTGGGGCAGAACTGCCCCTCTGCACCGGCCCTGTGTCCGTGTCCTGGTAGGGGCCGGCCTTCGTGGGCTGCACCAGCCTCCTTCATGGGGTCCGAGTGGTCCCTGGGCTCAGGGACCTTCCCAGGTTAAATGCCACATGGGGCTGTGGGAAGACAGTCTTCAGTGTCACGTGGACCCAGGCCTGAGCCCCAGCTCTGCTGTGATCTAGCCACGCCACCTCAAGATAGTCACTTCCTCCTCAGTGCCATGGTGATGCCAGCACCTGCCTCAGCGTCACGGTGACACTTAAATGGGACAGGGGATAGGTGAGGGCCTCCACCTGGCATCTGCCATGGGGTTGGCACTCGCTGCATGCCAGCCAGTTCTCTTCCCTCCACCTTCATCCTCACCCCCTCCTGAGAGCCTCTCTCTGGGAGTGGTCTGGAGTGAGAAGTGGTGAGCTCCCCATGCTAGAGGAGTTCAGCAAGGACTTGGTGGAATGCAGCAGAGGACCTGGGCATCAGGTGGCCCGTGGGCCTCAGCCCTGCCCTGGTTTGCTGGGCAAGTCCTTTCCAGGGCAGACTTCCTGGAGGATTAGGATGCTTGATGACCCCACAGCGTCTGTCGCTCTTGGACCCCAGAGAAGCTAAAGGCTTTCGAATTTATGATGCTGAGCTTTTCCAGTTTGAAAATCCGTGGCTTGTGCCATTTACTGATGACTGTGGGGTGGTCTGGTTGGCTGGATCCCACGCCTGCAGGCCTGGACGCTCGGAGAACTCGGGTCCCTCGAGGCCAGTGGGAAGAGGGAGGGGTTTGTCCTCTTGTCTCATGCACAGGGCAAAGCCCTGGTCACCTGACCGCCTTGCCCCATGCTCTGCTGGCCCCTTATCTGTGCAGCATTCCTGAGCTGTTGTGGAGGCCGATGTCGACCAGGGGAGGCTGGAGACTCAGGGCAGGGCCCCACGCCGCCGCTGGGCTGACCCCTGCTCAAAGGGCTCTAGGTGTGACGGGTGTGCACTTCTTGAGCCCAGTCCTGCTGCATTTGGTGCTCGGGAGGCCTGAGGCTCCTTTAATTGACCTTAATGAGGCTTCCATCTGAATAGTCCAGAGGGTGGGGAAGGCGTTCCCAGAGCTGATGAAGAGGAGAGGGGAGAGAGCTCAGGGCATCCAATCTGACTCCCCATGTTACAGAGAAGAGAAACTGAGGCTTTGAGTGGGAAGTGCCCTGCCAGAGGCCACCCAGAGAAGGAGCGGCAGAGCCGGCAGGCCCCAGGGCATTAACCTCTGGGCAGTGCTGATGTTCAGGGTTTGTTTCAGGACCAAGGGTGGGCTCTGGGAGTGGCTGAGTCACAGCTAGAATATACACAGGACCCCCTGCAGGAAAGGAGCCCAGGAACTGGAGGCCTCTGCCACCAGCTGACTGTGTGGCCCTGGGATAGTGACTCCCTCTCTGGGAAATGGGAGTGGTCATCACTGCCCCTTCTTGGTCCCTGGAAAGGGGACACCCATACGAGTGTCAGCAGGCTGGTCCCGGCTTGGGTCAGCATTTGTTACCATATGCACAGACTCCCTCCCCACCCACCTGGAAGGCAGGACCAGGCTGTTACCTCTGCGACTGGCCTTCAGAGCCAGAGGACGGGCAAGCTGGTTTGGAGAGTGCCAGGAGTCAGGGGTGGTGCTGCCCACAGTGTCGCCAGGGGCTCCCAGGAGGCCTCCACAATGCCCAGAGAACCTTCCAGGCCTTTCAGACTGTCTCATTAATCCTGCCAGCACCAAGGGTGGGGAGAGGCATGGGAAACATGGGAACATGGGAAACTGAGGCCCTGCAGCCAGGTCTGCCCCAGCCCTCCTGCTGGAGGAGGAGGTTGGGCCAGGAGGGCAGCTCTTCCTGGCTCTGTCCCTCACCCCCAGGGAGGGAGGGGGCCTGTGCCTCCACCATGGAGGCAGCTGCAGCCCCTGGAGCCCCAGTTTCTCCATCTGTCCAGGGGGGTGGCTGTAACTGTAGTGCAGGTCTGCTGGGGATGAATTCTCTCAGCATTTGTATGTCTGAAAAAGTCCTTATTTCACCTTTGGTTTTGAAAACCTTTTCCCCTGGGTATGGAATTCTAGGTTTTTCCATTTAGTACCTTAAAGATGCTGCTCCTGTGTCATCTGGCTTACATTGATTCTGACTATGTAATGGTCTTTTCTCCTCCGGATGCTTTTAAGATTTTCTCTTTATCACTGATTTTAAGTAATTTGACTGTGACGTGCCTTGGTGTAGTTTTCTTCGTGTCTCTTCTGCTTGGAATTCATTGGACTTCCTGGCCTTGTGGATGTATAGTTTTCGTCAAATGTGGAAATGTTATGGCCATAATTTTTTCAAATGTTTTTCTGTCTTCTCTTCCACTCTCCACTTCTGCACATTCTGAGACTCCAATTACACGTATATTAGACCTTCGAAATTGACCCACAGTCCACTCATGCTCTGGTCCTGTTTTTTCAATCTCTTTCTCTCTCTGTGATCATTTCTACTGATGTGTCTTCAAGTTCACTAATCTTTTCTTCTATAGTGTCTAATTTGCCATTAATCTCATCCAGTGTATTTTTCATCTTAAATGGTGAATTGTTTTACCTCTCGAGGTTCAGTTTGGTGTTTTTTTAAAAAAAATATCTTCCTTGTCTCTAAGTAACTTTTTGAGCATATAGAATACAATTATAACTGTTTTCATGTCTTTATCTGCCAATTCTAACATCTGTATCCATTCTGGGTCTGTTTTGATAGATTTTTTTTTTTCTCGTGTGAGTCATTACTTTCCTGTTTCTTTGTGTGTCTGGTAATTTTTGATTGGTTTCCAGATACAGTGACTTTTATGTTGTGGGGTGCTGGAGTTTTGTTTTTTCTTAAAATATTTTGGAGCTTTGTTCTGGGATGCAGTGAAGTTGCTTGGAAATAATTTAATGCTTTTGAGACTTGCTGTTAAGCTTTATTAGGCAGGACTAGAGCAGATTTAGTCCAGGGCAGCATTGGCAAGCTACGGGCCAAGGCCTGGCCTGGTGCCTGCTTTTGTAAGTAGTGGCAGACAGACATATGCATTTGTGTGTGGTGTCCCAGAGGACAGAGAAGACCCTGGGCCTCAGCCACCAGGGAGCCCTGGCTGGTCCTGCAGCTCTGCTGTGCCCACTGGACAAGTGAGAAAGCCGGGCCCAGACAAGCTGGGTGTCCTGCTCAGGGTCACACAGAGATGGTGTCCGTGGCGGGGCAGTAGGGAGCCCCTGGGTGTAGGGGCTTTAGTGCTGGATACACGACTGTTGTCAACAGGGGCCTGAGACCCGGGAGGAGCCAGATGGAGTGTGCAGACACGTCCCCGCAGGCCCCCGGCCACCTGCCAGGCTGCCCTCATGGTGGGTGAGAGTGAGTTCAGCTCCCTGGCTGGCCTGACTCGGTCCTAGCCTGACTAGCCCCAGCTTGCTGTGTAGCCCAGAGCACATCCCCAGCCTCTCTGTGTCAGGCTCCTCCAGGAGGTTCTCAGACCCAGGATGGGGTGGTGCCAGCCTTGGAAGGTGGGAGGGGCTGGATGTCTGTCTGGGTCAGGAGCACTGGGCCCTGGTCTGACACACTCCCCTGCTGCCAATGGGACAGGGAGGGGCGATGAGAGAGACTGAAGACCGGAGCCTGACGGTCACTGAGCACCCCAGGCCCAGGCGCCCCCTGACCACCCCTGAGGCAGGCCAGCTCGTCCACACCGCCCTGTCCTTTCCCTGTGGCTCTTCCCTCCCCGTGCCTCGACTCAGGTCACTGCCCACACTGGGCTGGGGCTGGGCTGGAGGTAGGGTGGTGCACCCTGACCTGCGGACTCACCTGAGCCTAGGAGGCTGGAGGTCAGCTGTGACAGGGACAGATGTCAGATGACGGGAAGGGCACATGTGCTGGTTTGGGCGCTGTCCAGACTAGACAGGAGAGGTGGCAGCGAGGGAGGCTGCCAAAGTCCACACGAGCCAGGGACACAGGGTGACCTCAGCAAGCGGCCACGCCCGCTGCTCGCCCCCTCCCTGGCTGTTGACACATCCGCTTCAGCTCGGCTCCCGGGGTGGTGGCCGGAGGGCGGCGGCATGGCCTGTCCTGACTCAGAATGCAACCCAGGAACAGACTGGAACAGGACCCCTGGGCTGAGCCCTGGCACCTGCACGGGGGCGGGCCGCCCGCTCCTCAGGACGCAGACCCTCCCTGACTCCGACCCGCGAGGGCCAGCTCCTCCAGGCTCCTCCGGGCTCCTCTGCGGCTCTCCCTCTTCCCTCTGCATTCCTCACTGGCCAGGCTCCTGGGCTTTGATTTCCGGGGTCTTGGGTTACGGAAACAGCGGCGTGTCCTCCGCTGCCTGCTGCCCCGGAGTCCAGTCTGTGCCGCCGACCGGGGATCTGAGTCCTAAGTGTGGAATCCCACGCCTAGAACTTCAGGACAGAGAGGGCCAGCCTGTCCCTTCCCAGTCCCGGTCCGGAGGCTGCGGGGAGCAGGGCTAGAGTGGGCACCCAGGGAGGGCGGTGGGCGTGGCAGGGCCGTGCGTCCCGCTGAGGCACCTGCCCCCCTGCCACGCTGCCTGACGTCCCGGTCTCTCTGCCCGCCCCCAGGTGATAGCTGTGGTCATGGACATGTTCACCGACGTGGACATCTTCAAGGACCTGCTGGAGGCCGGCTTCAAGAGGAAGGTGGCCGTGTACATCATCGTGGACGAGAGTAACGTCAAGTACTTCCTGCACATGTGCGAGCGGGCCCGCATGCACCTGGGGCACCTCAAGGTGAGCCCGTGGGTCATGAATGGCCGACTGGTCACTCAGTCAGTCAGTCAACAAACACTTTGAGCACCTGCCTTCCAAGGATGGAGCCTGTGCCGGGCACATAGAGTTCAGTGATCCTAGAGCCTCCTGCCAGGTGGTCACCTGGCCTCAGCTTAAACGCCCCGAGGGTCAGGACGCTCACTGCCTCCAACAGTCAGAGATAAGAGAGCACTGACTGAGGGCCTGCTCACCAGGTGCTGGAGCCCACGCCAGGTGCTATTCACATGTTATTTCAGAGCAGCCTGTGCTGTGTTGGTTACCTGTCTTTCCTTGCACACCTCCAGCGACAAGGTGCTCACCACCTGGGCTCCAGCAGCTCACGGGAGAGCTGAGGCCCGGAAGTCTTTTCTTGAGTTTCGGCCCACATCTGTCTCCGTATAACATCCACCCACCGGTTTTAGGATCTGGCTCCGACAGGGAAAGCTGTCTCGGGCTGAGGTCAGGGAACGCTTCCTTGACGGCTACAGAGTTGAAATGGATTTGAGGAGTGAGAGCAGAGTAGAGAGGGTCTTCTAGGGAGGGGCTCCAGGGAGCAGAGGTGGAGGGATCAGGATGGGCTGGGTTCTCAGTACTGCTTTGCTGTGTGTCTTTGAGCACATCACCTGCCTCTCTGGGCTCTAGGATCTCATTGGTCCAGTGGGTGTGTGGGCTCTTCCACTCAGACACCCTGGCATTTGGTGCCTTGCTTGGGGACAGAGGGAGCCCTCCTTCCACACAGCCATTACTTGGCGCCTACTGTGTGCAGCACGTTCCCCAGAGAGGAGGGATCAGTCTTCGTAACGACAGCTGATGCTTCCACCGTGGTTGCCGGGTCCCAGGCCCGTCCTCGGCCCTCCACACCGCTGACGCATCTCCTGACCGCCTGGCAGGGCAGGGCAGTTGTTCTCATTTTCAGAGGGGGAGGTGGAGGAGCGTGCCCAGGTGCACTCACAGCTGGGACCTTACAGATAAGGGGAGAGGGCTGCACCAGAGCCCCTGGCTGGGCCCCACCCCTCGGCAGGTCACAAGTCCTTGGGCTTCTGATCTGAACGGAATCCCAAGAGAAGGGGTGACGCCAGGTTGGTTAACAAGGGGCTGGGCTCCCGTACCTGTCATCTGTGGGCCTTTGTCAAGGGTGCCCCCCACACCAGTTGAGTCCTTTCAAGTGGGTGTGAGCTCCCGGGCGGCGAGTCTCTGGCTGTTGGGACATTTTTATGTGGTCTTCCTGGTGGGTTGACCCCAAGCCCCACACTCACCCACCGCCCTGCCCGCCTTGTAATTAGCACCGAGAATCGACTCCCGGGGGAGACAGCTCATGCCGGGAGGTGCTGGGTGTAGACAGGCGTCTTTTGAAAGGTGGCTGCAGAGGCCTCGGCCTTGTGGGCAGCAGATGAGAGAACCTCAGGGCTCTCTGTCCCACCTTCCCCCAGGCTTGGGAAGAGACCCGACGGGCCCACCGCCACCGTGCCCAGTGGTGCTTCACACACACCCCATCACTCGGCCCCCACGCGTCCCTCTGGTGGACGGGTGACGAGGCAGGGGAGGGACCCAAACCTGGGGCTGGCCGCTCCAGAGGCCTAGAGGCCTCGCCCCTGTCCAGTGCCCCCGCCTTTTCTCAGTAGGGCCTCCCAGATGCAGGTCTTCACAGAGGGTTCAGAGCCCCCAGGTAGTGGAGGCAGGCAGGCTGGCTGAGAACGTGGCCCAGGGGGCTCACGGCTCCCTGCGAGGTCGGCTCCTGCCCTCACCGCCCACCCCACCCACCCTCTGCTCCCCAGTGCAATTGGGGCCTCAGGACCCGCCGCAGCCCCACGGCTTCGTGGGGGCCTGGAATGCCTGAGCCAGAAGGGGCCTTGAGGCTATCTAGACTAGGCTCCCGCAGGACAGAAGGGGAAACTGAGGCCTGAGGGAGGCTGTGACTTGCCCAGATGCATTCCACCAGGTCAGGGGCTGAACCTAAAAGCCAGTAATGAGAAGCTGGCACAGACAAGGGTGCCCAGTGTCCCCGGCTGAGGCTTCCTGGCTGCTGACCAGGCCTTGGGCACGTGGCCTCACCTCTGTGGGCCTCCAGCACCTCATGGCCATAATGATGCCTCATAGGGTTGTTTGAAGATGACAGTAGAGGAGACAGTGGCTGTAAAAGCTCTGTGAGCTAAGGGGAGTTACGCAGCTGCTGGCAATAACAAGAAATTCTAAACCTCAGGCCCTGGGCAGGGGTGGGGGGATGGGTGCCAGGCCTCCCCCAGCCCTTCAGCTTGAAAGGAGGCTGAAGCCTAGAGCATGGGGGGGTGACTCGCACTGGGGGTCCCTGGCCCAGCCTGTCCTGCTGCCCACCTCCCTGCTCTGGGGAAGGTGGCAGGGACTTCAAGGTGATGTTCCCAGGAGCCGGATGCTGTGGGAGGCTGGGCACCTTCATGGGAAAGACCATGTTGACCTGGCCTCCTTGCTCTCACCTCTGAGCCCGCCCCCTCCACCGCCTGGGCGAGTGGCCCAGCCCTGGCCTGGTGTCACCTTGTCGAGGGCCTGCCTGCACGGCCCACCTCCCTGCCCGCGGGCCAGCTGGGCCTGGACCTGTCTCGGAGTACTTCCTTTGCCAGTAATCCCTGGGCCCGCCCTCGGCCACTCGCCCGCTCAGCGCTCGCCGTTCCTGCCCGGCTCCGCAGCGACCTGCCCTCAGCTCCTGCAGGCCCGGGAGACAGGTTGCATCTGGTGGGGTCATACTTGTGACCATGGGAGTGGGGTGTTGGTTGCCAGTCTGGGGGCAACACCAAGAGCCAGGCCTGAGCCCTGGCTCTGCCACCTGCACTGTCACCTTGGGCAGAGACACTGAATCTTTCTGAGCCTCAGTCTTCTTGTCTGAAATGGGCACATTGTTCATCTGGCAGGGCTGCTGTGAAGACTGAAGGAGGCTGTGGGGCAGGGCACTCAGTAAGGGCCCCCTTCCCAGCCTGTCTGCGGTGGGAGACGGGTGCAGCCCCTCCCATGAGACCCCAGCTCTGGTCTGAGTGCCAAGGGGCTTCCCCTCCCCCTCTGAGCTGTGGTCTGGCTGGAGACGCCTCCCCCTCCAGGCAGCCCTCCCTGCTTCCTGAGCTTTGAGCTCACACCAGCGCATCTGGAAACAGCTCCTCTATTGCTTGGGCGAGCCCTCCTCCTGGTTTCTAGGTGAGGTAGGAGGACATGCACCAGCACCTCCCCAGGTGTGAGGTTCCCAGCTGTCCCCAAGTGCCCGCGCCTGCCAGCTCAGCTGGCCCTTGAGGGCCCATCCGGAGGAAAGGGTGGGAATGATGGTCCCATATGAGAAATGGGGAACAGGCCTTGAGAAGAGTTCCCAGCCTGCTCACCCCACCAGAACCCATGGCCAGGCCACATGTCTGAGCCACATTTGGGGGCGAGACTGGGTGCCAAGGGATGCCCTGGGCCACTGGGAGCCAGGCTGGGCCTCGAGGCTCATAGCTTAGGACAGGACGGGAGCTGTGAGATGCCTAGCTCATCTGAAAAGCTCGTTGCCTTTGTGCAGCCAGACTGGAAAAACCAGCAGTCACTCAGGCGCAGGCCAGACCCATTGCTGATGAACAAAGAAGCACCAGCCAGGGAGGCCGTGGGAAGGCGTGGTGAGGGTGCGAGGACTCGGCCCGCAGCTCAGGTTCCACACCGGACAGGCCACCCCGCCCCAGTCTGGTGCCCAGGGCTTCCTGCCCACCCGTCCCGCCGCCTCTGATCCTGGCCTGGCCTGTAATGGATTCCGGGTGTGGGGCAGTGCTTCTTAACCAGGGGCTTTGCCTGGCGTGGGACGTTTGGCAACGTCCCGAGACGTCTGTAATGGTCACAACTGGCATCTGGTGGGAAGAGGCCAGGGGTGTTGTTAAACATCGTACAATGCACAGGACAGCCCCACAACAGAGACTCAACCTAGCCCAGAATAGCAGCAGTGCCGAGGCGGAGCGACCCGGCCTAGGGAGGAGCCAGGAGCCCCTCGGTCCAGGCCCTTCACTGGGCTGGCTCAGCCCTGCCCTATCCTGCACCCGCAAAGGTGCTCCCCATCCCAGCCTCACCACAGCCCCGGGGAGGCCAGGGCGAAGTTGGCTCCCCTCCCCATTACAGAGAGTGAAACAGGCCCTTTAGAAGAGAGCAGAGGCCGCCCAGCCACCCAGCACACAGGGACACGGGCTCTCACTTCCCATACGAGGGCTCTGTCCCCTGCGCTCTGCACACTTGGCCTGATCTCCCTGTCACCAGCCGGGCCTGGTCAGGATGCATCTCTGGGCCTCCACTCTCCTCCTTGGGCCCAGAAGATGCCAGCAGGCCCCTGCAGAAGTGAGGGGGAGTGAAAGAGCCAGCATGGGGCAGCTGGACGCTGTCCTCAGCCCCAGGGGCTGGGCCCCCCCAGCCGGGAGACCGTGGGCAAGTCACTCCCCATCCTGAGCCCAGCTGACGGTCACTATGGCTGACAGTCCTGGCCTCCCTGAGCCCGAATCCACCCCATTCCAGATGTTTTCTGTTCCTCCATGTCCAACCCCCTCCTGCTCCCTTGGAGGAAGGAATCACCCCTGTGGCCCTGCACGTGCTGTCACAGCCCACCTGGTCACCCCGCATTTGCAGAGCACCCACTGAGTGCTGGGCATGTGTCACAGCTTCATTCAGGCCTCACAGCAGCCCTGAGGTGGGAGGGTGGGTCGGCCCATTTCACAGATGAGAAAACCGAGGGGTGGAGAGGCCAAGTTGGCCTCCGTTTGGTGCCAGGGCTGGAGCTCAAGCATGCCTCAGACCCGCCCTGCCTCAAGGAGCCTGGGCCCGTCCCCTCTGCCTCCCACCAGCCCAGGCCTGAGCACAGGAGGCCCCGTGGGGTGCGGGGCAGGTGCTGTGGGTTTGCTCCAGCCCTAGTGCCACCCCGCCCTGCCCCACACCTGCTGGGACAGAAGCCGTCCTCGGAGTGATGAGATGCTGCCTGGCCATCCTCCCTGCCCCTCTTATGTAGGAGGAAACTGAGGCTCTGTAGGGTCCGGGGACTTGCCCAGGGCACCCTACCTGGGCCAGCCTGGGTGTCCTGCGCCCTTCCTGCTGCATGCTCTGCGGGGGGTGTCCCAGGGCTCAGAGACAATGCAGCTCTGTGGGCTCCTCCACCTCTGCTCCCCCGAGCCAGGCTTCTGAGACGTTACCTCATCCGGACTAGGCCCCATGGGGCGGGGCTCCCAGGAACAACCTGGCAGGGGAGCAGCCCTGGCGGGGGTGGGGGGTGCTGCCACAGCCCCCACCTGCTGCTGAGCTCCAGGGCCAGATGGACCTTAGATTTGAAGCCAGCCCCCCAGCGTGCAGACAGGGAAACTGAGGCCCAGAGAGGGCTGGAGACTAGCTTAGAGTCTGGCACAGCGAGGCCTGCCTCTCACACGGAGTGAGTCGCTCTGAGATGAGAGTGGTGACCTTCTGAGCCCTTCACTGGGACAAAGTCTAGGGTGAGTGGGGCAGACACTGGTGAGAGGGAACTGAGGCTGGCGGCCGTTCCTCCAGGCTGAGAAAAGGCCTGAGGCCCTAGCACGTGGAGCGCTGGGCCAGGAACCCACAGAAGCCACGGAGCTGGGCTGTGGTCGGGCACAGGTGGCGGGGAAGGCCTGGCACCGCCTCCAGGATCTTTGTTCTGACTTCTGGTCCCCAAGCACGCTCTGCTTTGGGTACAAAGTCACAAGCACTAATTGTCCTGGGCCAGGGCCAGCTTCCTGCTGAGCTGGCTGTGAGCAGACAGGCAGCCTGAGGGTGGGGGGAGCCAGCCCTGGGAGCAGAGGCTTATCTGCCTTCTGGGCTGGGCCCAGCAACAAAACGATTGTTCACCCCACAGCCGGGTGGGCATCCATGGGGACTCGCCCCTCAACGGCCGGGTGGACACTGCTCTGGGGCTGCCCCGAGCAGAGAGGGAGGCATGCAGGAGCCCCTGGGGGCAGTGGGCTGGAGTGGAGGGCAGGCTCCGGCTTTCTCAGACCCACCCCCATCTCCCTGTTGCCCCCCCCAACTTAGGCCCACTCCCTCACCCACAGCAGCCCCTCCCTGTTCTCCACCTCTGGCTCCTCATTCATTTCACGCATCCTCCCGCTGGATGCCAGAACTGCTTTTGAGGTGCAGCTCCAACCCTGTCACTCCCTGCTCTAAATCCTCCCATGGCTCCCTACTGCCCCCAGGGCTGAGCCAGGCCTTTCAGCAGGTGTAGGGTCTTTCATCAGCATCCAGCTGGGCCCACCCTGTAGGCTCCATCACCCACCCACCTCCCCCGAGTCCTCACGTTTCTTAGACACACTGCCGCTCTCATTGCCAGGCTTTTGTATTCTCATGTCTGGAATGCTAACCCTATCCCTGACCCTGACCCGCTCTGCCTCATCTTTCACAGCCCAGAAGCCAGCCTTTTCCGGAGCCTCCCCAGCCCCAACAGCTGGGGTTGTTACTCTTCTGCCTTCCCCCTGCTCTCCAATGCAGGACCCCTGCACGCTGGGGGCCTTGAACTCTGCAGGGGTCGGTGAACGAGTGAATGAGCGGGCAGTTAATAAGCTGGGGACCGCGAGTGGGCGGGGGTGACCGGTGGAGAAGTCACAGAAGGTGTAACAGCCCAGTCTTGGAGCTGTGTTAAAAATCAAATTCCCAGCCTGACCTCAGTTCTCCTGAGCTGGATCTCTGGGGCACCCAGAAGCCTGTGTTTCTAACACACAGCACTGGCAGTGTTGCACAGATGAGCCCAAGTCCCCTTCCCACTCCGAGGTTCTACTTTGGGGTGTCCTCAGCCATCCCTGGGTCTCAGCCAGGCTTGCCCTGCCCTTCCTGGGGTCTGCCATGCCCCACCACTGGCTTTTCACACCTGCCTCTCCCTCAGAGCAAGAGCCGCCTCCTGTTGCGGGGAGCCTGCACCCAAGCCTTGCAGCACCCGGGCCCAGGGACACCCATAAACTCCACACCAGGGAGGACCTGTACATGGCCAGAGTTAAGAGGAGGGCAGGAGTGACCTGGCCTTGGACCCGAGGCGGTGGTGGGCCCAGCTCTGTTCGTGACGCCTGGGGGACCCCCCTCTTCTCTTGTGGTCTTAGCCTGCCCTCCTGTAATTTCTCAGGGCCTTCCTGGCTTGCTCCTCAGCCACAGTGCAAGCCCAGTGAGGGGTAAGATTTGACCATTTACTGGACCACTCCTGGGTACCAGGCAGTGGGCCGGCCCGAGGGGAAGTAGGAAAGTTTGCTGTGAGCCTTGCCCTCAGTGAGCACAGCTCAGTGGGGACAATAAGACAGCTGTGTGGAGAAGACCCGGGGAGAGGCCTAGCTGGTCACTCATCCTGGAAAGGCCACAGATTTGCCAGAAGGCAAGACCCTCATCCCTCAGGGCAGCACCCCCCCACCCCGCTGCACAGCCCCCAGCCGTCAGCGGGACCTTCCTAAAATGTGTCCGCATCACCTTTCTGCTCAAGACCCTGCAGCAGGGCCGGCCCCGTGGCTTAGCGGTTAAGTGTGCCCGCTCCCCTACTGGCGGCCCGGGTTCGGATCCCGGGCGCGCACCGACGCACCGCTTCTCCGGCCATGCTGAGGCCGCGTCCCACATACAGCAACTAGAAGGATGTGCAGCTATGACATACAACTATGTACTGGGGCTTTGGGGAAAAAAAGGAGGAGGATTGGCAATAGATGTTAGCTCAGAGCTGGTCTTCCTCAGCAAAAAGAAGAGGATTAGCATGGAGGTTAGCTCAGGGCTGATCTTCCTCACAAAAAGAAAAAAGACCCTGCAGCAGCCTCCCTCCACCTGCAGCAGCATCCCCCAGACCGGCCTGGCCAGCCAGGTCTTCCCCTGCCCAGGGCTGCTCTGTGGACACTCTTCAGGCCAGGCCCCATCCATCCTGCACTGCGCCCTTTGTCACCAGCCCTCACTCTCCTCTCCAGTTGCATATCACACTGCTTCCAGCTGGGCCCGGACCCTGTGGTCCCCACACACACCACCCCCTTTCTCCAGGCCTTACCGCCTCGTCCTTCCCCATCTGAGCTCCCCCATAGCCCTCCCCGAGCCCCGGGCAGAGGTTGGCGCCTTCACCACCCCCAGTGTGGTCAGTGCTGTTGTGTGATTCTATCTCTCATCCCCCACACAGAATCTCAGGGTGCGGAGCAGCGGGGGAACAGAGTTCTTCACGAGGTCGGCCACTAAGTTCAAGGGCGCCCTGGCCCAGAAGTTCATGTTTGTGGATGGAGACCGGGCCATCTGTGGCTCCTACAGGTGACTCTGCAGCTTTCTCGCGGCTGGGGGTAGAGGTGGCTCCAGTTCCCAGCTGGTTTCTCCCCTTAATCCTGCCTTATGACGCCCCGGTTATTCCGGTTCATTGGTCCCAAAACTGCTGAGGTGCGAGCGGGGCTGGGGCACGCCCGCACACCGCCCGCCTGGCTCCAGAAGCAGCAGAGGAAGGCTTTTGTCTTCCAGACTCTTGTTCCAGCCAAGAGGTGTCACCAGCCTGCAGGTGGGGTGTGGGCCAGGCCAGGCTGCGTCTTCCCAAGCCCACAGGGCGGTCACTCTGCGAGCCCTGCCACGCCAGAGCTGGCAGGGTGGAGGGTGCCCGCTGCCACGCGAGGGGTTGGTGGTGGCAGAGACACCAGTAACAGCACCAGCCACTGTGTGCTGGACAACAGTGGGTCCAGGCTGCTCCGGGTACTCTGTGAGCAGCCTTAAGGGGTTCTGGGGCACCCAGGAGGAGCACGGCACTGTGCTGTTTTACACAGCTGAGAGTGGGCTCGAGGTAACTGACTTGCCCGAGGTCGCAGACTCAGGTCTGACCCCAAGGCTGGTCCCTGTCCTCTGCCCCACTCACTTCTTGATCCCTTCTGGGGCCCCACAGCCACAGTCTAATGAACACCGGCCTGTGGGTGCACAGTGGCTCACTCAGATGCCCACTGCAGGGGGACTCGGGGCCCGAGGGAGGAGGCAGGCCCCAGGTGCCTGACCTGGCTGCCCCCTGCCCCTGTGTTGCAGCTTCACGTGGTCGGCTGCAAGGACAGACCGGAATGTGATCTCCGTGCTGTCCGGCCAGGTGGTGGAGATGTTCGACCGGCAGTTCCAGGAGCTGTACCTCATGTCGCACAGCGTCAGCCTCAAGGGCATCCCCATGGAGAAGGAGCCTGAGCCAGAGCCCGTCATGCTGCCCTCCGTGGTCCCACTGGCGCCCTCGGGCACCGTGGCCAAGAAGCTCGTCAACCCCAAGTACGCACTGGTCAAGGCTAAGAGCGCCGACGAGATTGCCAAGACCTCCTCTGAGCAGCAGGAGGTCAAGAGGCCTCGGGGGCTGCTGGGTGCGGCGCTGGCCGAGCGGCCGGGAGACTTGCCCGAGCCGCCCCCGCCCGTCCACCCGGGGCTGCTCAACCTGGAGCGGGCCAACATGTTCGAGTACCTGCCCACGTGGGTGGAGCCGGACCCGGAGCCCGGCAGTGACATCCTGGGCTACATCAACATCATCGACCCCAAAATCTGGAACCCCCAGCCCAGCCAGATGAACCGCATCAAGATCCGAGACACGTCCCAGGCCGGCGCCCAGCTGTGGAGGCAGAGCCAGGGCTGCAGCCCCACCCCAGGGCCCCAGGCCCCTCAGGATGGGGTCCCAGCTGAGAACGGCGTGCCCCGGGGAGACCCTGAACCACAGCCCCCCGTGCCCAAGCCCCGGACAGTCCCTGTGGCAGACCTGCTTGCCCAGGACGGTGGTGGTATTGGCTGGGGCCTGGAGACCCCAGAAGAGGAGGTGCCCCAGAACGGGACAGACCACAGGCTGCCCAGGATGGCTGGCCCAGGCCTTGCCCCGCCCCAGCGGCAGCTGTCCACGACTCAGGATGACCCCGACGGCGGGGGACCAGCCATCCCCAACGGGCTGGATGGTGAGGAGGAGGAAAATGACGACGACTATGTGACCCTCAGTGACCAGGACAGCCTCTTGGGCAGCTCTGGCCTTGGCCCTGGTCCCCGGCGGCCTTCAGTGGCCTCTTCCATGTCAGACGAGTATTTCGAGGTGAGGGAGCACTCAGCTCCTCTCCGGAGGCGCCATTCAGAGCAGGTGGCCAACGGGCCGGCCCAGCACCCCCACCGACAGCTCAGTGCCCCCCACATGACCCACGGGACCTTTGGTGGACCCCTGGGTGGCTCGCCGTGGGCCCAGGGTCAGGAGCGAGAGGAGGCGGGCACTCCAAGGAGGATGCAGGCCCCGCGCTCCACGGACAAGGAAGCACAGGTGGGTCGGGGTCCCTGTGCACTGGGGTCTCAGGAGCCCCTCCCCGAGGCCTGAGCACCCAGAGCTGCCATCTGCTGGGCTGCTGCATCCTAGCTCAGACAGCTTTCCTTGTCAAGACGGGGAAACTGATGAACGGGGCGGGGGAGGGGTAGGGACCACGCAGGGCCACACACGTGGCAGGTCATTACCAACTCTGGGGACCTCAGCCCCAGTGTCCCATAAAGGCAACCTAAGCCAGCTACCAGGAGCCGAAAGGAGATGCACTCAACACACCCAAAGGTTTCAGGTGTCTGGCGTTAGAGGAAGTTGACGCCACCCTGCCACATGGGTGGTCCGCTCCCTAGTTTGCGGACGAGGAAATGGCGGCGGCACACAGATGTTCCTTTCCACCCCCAGGTAACACAGCAGTAAATGGTCCTTGTCCGGACCTTATGCCAAGCCTCCTCCACGTGATCCCTTTGATTGTGGCCCTTGGGACCACTCTCCTCCCCGCTCCCCAGGCCGGGAAACAGCTCACATCCATGCTTTGCCGCTCCTCCTGGCCCTTTACAGGCCAAGGGCCCAGACCCCGGGGTGCCCGGCAGCCCCGGCCCAGCCCCGGGAGCCTGTCCTACCTGGGAAGAGTGCACGGCTGATCATGCCCGGCATGATCATCAGCACCATGGGCAGCATCTTGAGGTAGCTGGCCAGGATGGAGCCCGCCTTGGCGTGGTTCAGGTCCCGGGCAGACAGTGACCGCTGCACGATGACCTGGGGACACAAGACAGGAGGCCCAGCTCCCCTCAGGGACGCCTGTGTCAGAGTTTCTCCCTGGTGGGCCACAGGGAGTGGCATGAGACAGACGCTGTCCCACTAGCCTCAGACCCACCCGAGACCACCACAGCGCAAGCCTGACGGTTCCCACCAGAAGCAGAGCTCTTCCTGATTGACCGAGCACCGTGGGCCAAGGTAGTCTCGTTCCAGGCACTCAGTCTCCCCGTCTGTCAAGTAGGGAAGGTGCGGGTCCTGCCTGGCCTGCCGCCCAGCAGTTGTCAGGGCTGGAGGAGACCCTAGGTGGGACGTGTCAGGGACTACCCCCCAACCCCCACCGATCTCCTGCCCCCTCACGAGAGTAGTGCTTAGCCGGTGTGCGTGTGCACATGCCAGGAGCAAACACTGGCACCAGCTGTGTTCTGTGTCACTCGCAGAGGCCGGGAGCTTTCAGACCTGGGTTTGGAAAGCTTGCAGTTCAGTAGTAGAGGGATGCCAGAAGTTGCCTGAGGGAAACTCCCCATGTAGCTTAGGCAGATCCTAACTGGGCCTCAGTTTCCAGATCTGCAGAATGGGAGGAGGAGGAAGGGTGATTGGAACTGATGGCATCTGAGATCTCTCTCAACTCTGACATGATTCTACTTTAAAAAAAAAAACTAACTTTTTTAGAACAACTTTACTGAGGTATAAATCACATGCCCACAGTTCAGCGGTTTTTAGTATGCTCACAGAGTTGTGCAATCCATCACTTCTAAATGTAAGTGTTTTTCCTTGGCTGTTCTGCAGTTTAAATCACCACTTGCAATTCAGAAGGAGGAATTACCTGTGATTTTAACTTATTTTCCCAACGTGCTAGTTTAACGGGCAGCTCCCAGCATCTCCCTCTGAGCCGTGGCTCTTGGGGGAACATAATCCAGGGCACCTGGGCGGCAGCACTGGGTATGCAGGACAAGCTGAGTTCAGTCCTGTTTCTCCACCGGCATCCCGTGACTTGGGACAAGTCCTTGCCTCACTCTGGGCCTCAGTTTCCCTGTCTGGACAGTGAGGGGGTTGGACTCGGTTCTGTGTGGATCCTTCTCCTCTGATGTCCTGGGATTGCAAGAGCCCGGGCTGCACTCCTCAGCGGAGAGAGGAAGCGTTTCCCTAAACTCTGCACATTGTGTCCCATTCCGTCATTCCAGGCTCACAGTGGCCAGCCCTGGGAGGCAGGCGGGACAGTGGCTGTCGCCCATCCTGCAGGTGGGGACGCTGAGGCTCTGTGCCCCAGCAGAGCAGGTGTCAGGCAGCAGGGCTGGGCCTTCCCCTGCGGTGTCAGTGGGCTGCTGCTCCGCAGCGCCTCTCAGCATGGGCCTGGCATGGCCCTGCCAGAGGCCGTGCTTGCCGCTTCACCTCCCTGAACTGCTGTGTCCTCGTCTGCAAAGTGGGTACTGCCACCGACCTGCAAGGTTGCTGCAAGGACTGAGTGAGGCCGCTGTGTAGACAGCCAAGCCCGTGCCTGGCTGGTCGCGACTTCCCTGAGTTTAGGCTTCCCTCAGGGTGCCACCTCAGGGTCAGCCACAGCTTGGTGCTGGCCCAGGAGCATTTGGACCCTGGCTCCACCCTTCAGAGAGGTCCTGAACTGGCCTGGCTGTCCGTCTGCTCGTCTGTGAGATGGGGACAAGAACCTTCCAGGGGTGAGGTGAGGTGATGGGTACCACCCAGCATTCCTGGCCTGCGTCCGAAGCCCGAGAGCTTGTGGTCGTTGTTAAGACTGACGCAGCTGCTGCCGTCTTAAGGAAGACCCTCCGTCTGGAGCTGCAGCAGCAGGTGACAGAAGGTACACTGCCAGGGCAGGCAGGACCCCAGGAGGCCGTCTGGTCTGTGTGCCTCCCAGTTTTACAGACAGGGAAACTGAGGTCAGGGAGGGGCGCGGCCGAGCCCAGGCCACGGCTGTCTGCCCAGTACGCCTCTGCCTCCCGCTGTGTTGGTTTTGTTTGTTTCTGATACAAGAGTGTCACCTATGCATCGCGGATGAGCTGGGAGAGAGGGAGAAGTCTAAGGAGGACAAAAAGCACCCGTGCTTCCAGCACACGGAGCTGCCACCTGGTGCTGACCACCCTGGGCGTCCTGGAGGGCGCCTGGCCAAGGGGCGAGTGGAGCCAGCCCTCCAGGTGCCCCGCACAGCCCCCGGTGCTAGTGAGGGTCACAGCAGAGCAGGACGCGGAGGGCCACGCAGGCAGGTGGGACCCAACCCGCTGCTACCTGCTTTGCAGGGGCCTCTGGACCAAGGCCTGGCTGCTCCCCAGGCAGACCCAGCCTGAGCGGGAGGAGGATGGGGAGGTAAGGCTGACACCAGGCCGTGGGCCCCCAGTGCCGGTGGTACTCTGGACCACCCTGGGGTCAGCGGTGTTCTGCCTCCGTCTCCCTGTGTGACCCCCTTATCCAGGCAGCAAGGCCCTTGAGGCCAGGCCATGTGCTGACTCGCTTGGCCTTCATGGGAAAATCTCCTGAAGGATGTCCCACCCAGACACGCTAGGGCCGCCAGGCCCATGCTGAGCGGGGAGGAAACAAGGGGTGCCCCAGGGTGAAGGGGCCCGGGCTGGCGCAGCAGCCCGTCCCGGCACCCAGCACACCCTCCACAGCCTCTCACCCACACAGTCCCTAGAGGTCCACACGTGAGGCACAGTTGACGTGGGACTCTCGGGCACCATGTACAGACGGGAAAATGAGGCCCAGCCTCCCAGGTTTCTGAAGCCTCCCGACCGGGATCACTGCCCACTGTCCCAGCCCAGGGAGGGTCTTTGGGTGAACAGACTGAGCACCTAGTGCTCGGAGAGGGAGAGCGTGGGGAGCCCGCTGAGCACTCCCCTCGCTGGTCAGGCAGCCCTGGTCCCCAGAGAAGTCACTCCACTCTGGGTGCAGACCCCAGTTCTGCCCTCTGGGGCTCAGTGTCCCAGCCTGTGCATGGGATTGGCGGGTCTACCGCACAGGGGAGGCCGTCCTCATTCACCCCATAGGCCTGGCGGCCTCATTCCCACGGTGAAGCCCTTGGGGGTCCAGAGGGGAGGACGGGCGTCAGGCCTGTGGCCTCTGAGGCTGTTTCCCACCCGACTGCTGCCCGCAGCTGCCCACGGCCTTCGGAAGCAGGCAGGGCAGGGGGCATCGCCTGCTTCTGCCCAGAGAGGGGAAGTGGCTAGCTGAGGTCACTTGGTGGGTTCACAGCCCCGGGAGGACTAGACTGCACTCACCTGAGCCCCAGGCCGGATTAAGGCACTGCCTCCGACGACCCCATCCAGCCCCGTTTACAGGAGGAGGCTGGGGCAGGGGCATCGAGGAATGGAGGCATTTGCCTTATCACAACCACAAAAGGCAGGATTACTCCCAAATGACACATGGGGAAACTGAGGCACCAAGTAGTTGACACAAACTTGTCCAGGACCACGAGCTGGTGAGTGGCAGGGCCAGGAGGCAAACCCAGGAGTCCCGCTGCAGCCGCCCGGCAAAGAGCCCGAGGGAAGGGACGGATTGCTCCTGGGGATCTCACTCACCTTGTTCTCTCTCTCCCAGGGCCAAAAGTTCCACTATTATGGAGTCCCTGCCTCGGGGACCAAGGATAAAGATGGCTTCCCACGGCCGTTGAGGACCCCGGGACCCCCACGGTACCGGCCTGCTGCCGACGGCGCCCAGAGCTCTACCAGGAAAGCAGGCCCAGCCGTGGCAGGCCCCCATCACTGGCAGGCCAAGGGTGGCCCTGGGCCACGCACACTGCCAGATCCTGGGAGCCCAAGGTTGGCCCGAAATGCCAGCCCCCTGGCCGATGGCAGGGCCACTGAGGAGCAGCCAAGTCCTTTTGGAATCCCGTACTCCAAACTGTCCCAGTCAAAACACCTGAAGGCCAGGACAGGCGGTGGCCAGTGGGCCTCCTCCGATTCTAAACGGAGGGCCCAGGCCCCCCGGGACCGCAAGGACCCCTAGCACCATCTCCCCGGGCCTGGAGCCGGCCGTCCACGGCCTCTGCCCCAGCCCAGACTCACCGTGCAGGTGTTCACGGGGCCGTGCCAGGGACTGGCAGGTGGGCCGCCTGACCCTCCAGCACCTACCCTGGGAGGCGGGGAGGCAGGGCAGGCAACCACGTTGACACTCACCTGGTCCGTGCACCAGTACCAGGTGGCCATGATGGTCAGACCGAAGGTCATCCCGGTCCACGGGAGGTCCCCTGAGTAGGGGTCTCGGAACATGTGCATGGCGTCCGCGCGCGGCAGGTGGCAGGTGGTGTTGGCGATGATCCTGGTTGGGACGGCCTGGGAATAGACTGCCGCCAGCTGCTCGTACCCACCAATCTGGTCGAAAGCTGAGGGATTGGGGCGGGATAGGGATGGTTTGTGGCTGGGGGCCCCGACTCCCGGCCCCCACTGCCCTCATCTCACAAGTGACTTTCTGTTGCATCAAACTTGACTTTTTCCCACTTCCCCTTTCCCAGTGTCTGGAAGGGCATGGAGGGTAGACGGTTTTAAAAAAAGGCGAGTTCAAATGACTATTTTATTTGTATTTAAAATAATACTATTAAATGAGCATTTTGCACGTGGGCACCCCAGTGTCCTGTTGGTCTTGGGTGAGGGGTTCTCTGCCAGGCTTCAGACTGTTGATTCGAGGAAGCAAAAGTATTTTTTCTGGGCATTCAGGAACCTTCCTGAGGAGTCTAGAGTGTTAAAGTCTTGACCCAGGGGCTTCTGAAGGACGTGATTTTGGCTGAGCTGAGTGGCTGGGGGTGATGTGGCACTGAGAGGGGAAACAGGTCCCAGGAGGGCCAGGGCCCCCACAAATCCCAGACCATGCTCGCCCCTCACAGTTCCTGTCTGCCTTGGGGTCAGGGCCCTGCAGGGCCAAGTTCTGGCCCATTGAGGGCCTTTACTGTGTCTGTGATCACCCCTCTCCTGTCCAGACCACCTGGCTGCCTGGGTCCCTGCAGTGGGTTCAGGGGACAGGGGCCCCTGGTCTGAGAGGAGGCAGACACACAGAAGCCTGGACACAGGAAAACCCCTGTCTCAGCCCCAGGCCCCACTCTCCGCCTTTCCCACCAGGAAGCCTGCTGCCCAGACACTGGCCCCCAGCATCATTGCCCAGGTTAGGCCGGGGCGAGTGCTCAGAGCAAGTGTGCAAACACTCTACAAGGCTCAAAACGGCCCAGCCAGGGGATCCTAGAGTCTGAGGCTGGAAGAGACTTTAAAAGCCTCTGTTCCCTCTGTGTGGGATCCTCCTGGCTCTGCTTGCATAATTCCAGGGACAGAGAGTTCACTTCCTTTCGGGGCAGCCCTCCGAGCTTCCTCCGTGCTCCCAGACCAGGGTCACTGATCTGTCTAAACTCCCTCCTCTCCTCCCCTGCCTTTGTCCAGCGGGCCAGAGCAGCGCTTCTTGGGATCTTGTATGTGATTTTGAACAACTGGCGCAGACGCCCAGGCAGTCTTGTGGTCTCCTAATTGTGTGTCTGCGCACCTGCCCTCAGCCCCCTCACTGTCAAGCCCTGAGCCAGGGCGGCTGCCACGGCCTGTGTTCCTGGGTCAGCTCTGCGCCATCCCTGGGCCGGCCCGGAGCTGGTGACAGAAATGCAGCTGGGCAGTGGGGGCAGGAGGAGGGCGGGCAGCCTGGCACCCTCATGACTTGACCATGTGAGCCCACCCCATCCCCAGCACTGGCGCCTGGGTCCTGACCCCAGAGGCTTGCTGCTGGGACAGCCCCTCACCTTTGACAGTCAGGATGACAGCCCCCACCACCATGATAAGCGTTTGCAGGGCGTCCGTGTAGATCACAGCAGCCAGGCCTCCTGCGAGAGTGAACAAGGGAGCTGGAGGGGCCCCGGCCTCGGTGGGAGGGACGGCTGTTCCACACACGTGTCCCCTGCCTTTCACTCCTGGGTGAACTGGGACCAAGCAGCAGGGCCTGCAGAGCCAGGCTCCAGATCCCAGCTGTCTGACCAAAACCAGCCACTTCCCGGCTGAGGGAGGAGGTGGCCCTCTGCCTCCAGCTCCCGCCCCCGGCTCCCGCCAGCCCCTTGGCTTCCACTGATGCCCAGGCCGGTGGTCAGCCCCCTCTCTGCGGGAGCCCCATCCAATCCTTGCCAGGGCGCCATACCTGCGATGGTGTACAGGGCGGTGATGACGAGCATGAGGATGGTGGAGAGGTAGAAGTTCCAGCCCAGGCAGACGTGCACAAAGAGAGCCCCCGCATACAGGTCGATCTGGGGACGGGAAAGGAGTCCTGAGCAGAGGCCCAAGGTGACCGCGGAGCCAGAACACGAGCCAGCCCACACTCGGCCACTCACTCGCAGTGTGGCCTCAGTGCCCCACAGATGAGGAGAGGGAGACCCCCCGACAGGCCGGGGCTGTCGTGAGGGTGGGAGGGGTCCCGGCTGTGGACAAGCTGTGTGCAAGGGACGCTGCTGCTGTTAATCAAGTCCTGAGTGGCTGAGGCCCCAGGAGCAGCATTGTTAACTGCATCTGGCCCTGCCCAGCAGGGTAGAAGGCAGAGCGCTGTCCCCTCAGTTCCCAGGGGTCCTTAATGAGGAGTCCAGGAGGGCCACGAGATTACTGGGCCTCAGAAAACAGGTCCGCGTGCTCGGTCTCCAGGACCATAGCTGGGAACGCGCCCTGTTCTCTGTGCCCCGTTAGGCAGGGGCCCCCTGAGAAGAGACCAGATGTGTGCCGGGGGTGGGCAGGGGGAACAGAGGGGCAGTCCTGCTTACTACCCTCAGCGGGGTTGGAACTGAAGCCAGGACCACGTCTCAGGCTGAGCCTGGGGCAGCGTGTGGGGCAGGCATCGGAGCCCCGGAGTAAGCCGTACAACCCCAGCGCTGGAACGGGCCCACAGACCACAGGTGCCCTCCAGCCCACCCAGTGGAGGAGGGCAGGACCCCGTCCTGTGGGACCCGGGGGCTGGGCAGGGGGTTCCTGCCACGCCAGATTTCCAAACCTGCCATTCTGTGCTGGCTCAGTAGAGGGAGACAACCCGAAACACGGCCTCTGGGGCCAGGAGACTGGAGAAGGCCGGGCAAGGCTGCGGGGTGGCCCCACTTACTGGTGCGTGGACCGGGACGCACGAGGCCCAGGGGTGCCGGCCCCTTCCAGCTGCCCCACGGCTGGCCCAACTTGGAGCTGAGCAGCACTGCTCAGAGCCAGGCTCCTGGACCCCCTGCCCTCTACAGGCCCGGAGCTCCAGGACACAGAGCCCACGTGGAACCGGCTCTCACTCCAAAGCTGTGTTCCCTGCACCTCTCCCCCAGGCCCCTCCTTGACCCTCCGGGAGAGGACCTGTCCGGTGTGGAGGCTGACAGGGCGCATCCAGAACAGTGTCCCCTCGCTCTGGCCCCTGGCTTTGGCAGCGTACGTGTGAGTGTGTGCACATGTGTGGGAGTGTGTGTTGGGGGTGTGTCTACCTCCAGCCCCAGCAGAGAAGCCCAGAGCTGATGAATATCAGGGCAGGAAGGACTCCTTAAGCCCCCTGCCCCATGAGACCACAGGAGAAACTGAGGCACAGGGAGGGGAGGGGTCTTTGCGAAGGTCAGACCCTGGCGGATATCAGACTGGAGGTGTCTGGTGAGGGAGGACCAAGGGGGCGGTAGGGCTCTGGAAAGCAGCAGCCCCCTCCTCCACCTGGTCATCCTCCAGCCACTGCTCAAGACCCCTCCCTGGACCTCAGCTGCCCTCAGAGCACCTGCCTTTCAGGCTCTGGCCACACATCCCTTTAGCAGAGCTGACTCTGGTCACGTCAGACTGGCCGCCCTTCCACACCCAGTATTTTGAGGCTCACCCAGTCCCTCTGCCTAGAACTTTCCAGTCTCTGCATTGCATCTTCCAGAACTCAGTCGTCCCAGACGCCCTGCTCCCCTCACCCTTCTGCTCTGCAGGGACAGTTCCAGTCAGCCCTCCCTATCCGCAGTTCTGAATCCACGGGTTCAACCAACCGCGGGTTGACAGGCCTACGATGGTTGCCTCTGTACTGAACGTGTACAGACTTTTCCCTTGTCATTATTCCCTAAGCAATATAGTAGGACGACTATTTACACAGCATTTACATTGTATTAGGTATTATAAGTAATCTAGAGATGACTTAAAGTACACAGGAGGATGTGCATAGGTTACGTACATGCAAATACTAGGCCATTCTACATAAGGGACTTGAGCGTCAGTGGATTTTGGTATCTGCAGGGGTCCTGGAACCAATCCCCCACGGCCACCCAGAGACCACTGTATCCCTTCCTTCCTATCATAGCTGATGCCCCGGAGAGTGATTTGGAGCATGACAGGCAGCAGGAAGAGGACGAAGGGGTGGCGGTGGGACTTGGCCATCTTCCCTCCAGGACCCTACGCAGCGTTTGGCGAAGGCACTGCTGCCACTGCAGACACAGCGGCCAGTGTGCATGCCTGCAGGCTCGGCGGGAGTCCCTGGATGAGGACTAGACGCCACCAGTCCATCTGACCTCTCCTGCAACCCCGGCTCTCTCCTGTGGGCTCAGGCAGGCTGCAGCCAGGTAGAAGCTAAGAGCCCTAACCCCAAAGTCACACAGACTTGGGTCAGTGTCCCTGGTCCACTGTGTCCCGGTCCCCTGCTTTGAGCAGGTCACCACCTCCCAAGCCTCAGTGGCCCTAACCTATAAAATGGGGGAGTGGATGTGGAGAGGGCAGGCACAGGCACCCATCTCCCTCCATCCCCGCTGGCCTCTGCAGACCCCCGCAGGCCAGGGGTGCTGGGGGAAGGGCAGGCAGGGCTCTGAGGGAGCCTACTCCCCTCTGCCTCCCTCCCCGGGTGGCCCAGGAGCAGATGCAGAATCTAATCTAACTCTCTGAGGGCACAGACAGGGAGGTCAAGCCAGAGGAACTTGCCCACGGTGGCAAAACCCTGGGAACAAAATCAGAAGGACACGCCAGGGAGCTGAATCTCAAAGGAGGGGTGGCTCTCAGGGCCCTGTGCCTGCCTCCGGCCACCGCTCCACCCTCACTCAGAAACCTGCTGTGCCCAGGGTCATCTGCTTTCTGTGATCTGACCCCAAACTCGTGTGCCACCAACTGCTCTTACCACCTCCTGTGCCTTCTTCCCGAAGCACGACGCCCAGGCTGCACCCACACAGCACCTTCTACCTACAGCAGCTGCTCCCCGTCATCTCGTGCCCAGAAACCCAGCCACCTTCCAAGGCCCAGGAAGCCCGGGCTGGGGTGCTGGGGCCTGAGCACTTTCTTCCCAGCGTCTCCTGAAGCTCCTGCGAGGTGGATGTGATGAGCTGCTCCACAGAGGAGGGCGCGGCTCAAAGAAGACTGCCCCGGCCTGTGGTCAAGGTCATGAGGCAGGGCCCGAGGCCGCTGGGCTGACCCTTGGGACTGTGAGTTCCTGGGCCCGGAGAGAGTGGGCCCCACTCCTGGCACAATCCTTTCTGGCTTGCAGGGACCTGAGCCCAGGACACAGAGGGAGCGAGGGTGAGGGAGGGCGTGGGGCTGTCCCGCCAAGCTGACTTGATGCTGGGGCTGATCCGCGGCTGCACAGCCTCTCAGTACCCCACCTTCCCCATGTGCACCAGTGCCCCTCAGGGGGCCCCGCCCTGCCCCCGCACTGGCCACCTCCCATGGACCCCCTTCTCTCCCTCCCTTCACAGGGCTGCAGAGAAGCAGGGGTGGTCCTTGCTGACATTTGCCACAGGTTTATCATGTGTCTTCCCCCAGATCATCCCAGTGTCCCCTGCCCCAAACCTTGCCCATCTCCTAGAGGCCATCACTGTCCCTTCGGGGTTCTGGAAACTTCTCAGCTTTGCCACACTCCCTGCACGCGACCCACCAGCCACTGCTGTTGATTCTCCAAAATGCTCCTCCCCATCTCTGCTGCCCGCCACCACCCCCTGCCGTGCCCCAGCCCTTTGAAGCCCCTCGCTGGCCCCTCCAGCACTCGGCTTGTTGGGAGGAAAATCAGACCATCTCTGCATTTCCACTGCGCACAGAACCAAATCCACCGGCCGCCCCCCTCCCTGTCATCCTCACCTCTCCCTGCTCGGTGGCTCCATGGGCTCCAGCCCCACCGCCCCCTCCAGCTGCTCGCCTGGGATGCTGCTTCAAGGCAGATTTTCATCCCAGACCACTCTCTCCAAATTGAGCCTGATCCCCGCTCTCTTCGTTCTCCACTCCAGCCCCGCGTCAGCCTCTTTTATCACACTTTACCATTTCATATAACTGGACTGGTCTGTTCATTTCTCTCCTTGTCTAGAACATAAGCTCCCTGAGAGCAGAGACGTTCTTGTCTTCCAGTGCCCACTCAGGCCTGGCGCACAGTAGGCGCTCAATGCACGGGCATATTCACAGGTGTCAGGGCTCGGCGCCCAGAGACAGAGTCCAGTCAGCCTGTTGGGATTGTCTTCCAACCTCCAGTGGCGAAGACGAGTAGTTTGCACATAGCCCGCAGAGTCAGAAATATTTACTCTCCAGCCTTTCCCAAAAAAAAAGAGCTGAGCCTGGCGTGTGTCATCTCACTCGGTCCCATGAGGTGTGCCAGGCACACAGTGGCACTGGGGATACGTCAGTGAACAGAGGAGAAAATGAAGGAGACAGTAGACATTCTGAGTGAATCACTCAGCATGTGGGAAGACAGTACGTGTATGAAAAACGGAGAGCAGGTGAGGACGTGTGGACCTGATGGGCAGGGGTAGGCCTCGTTGAGGAGGTGAGATCTGAAAGACTGGAGAAAAGAGAGGGAGTGAGCCACGTGGATATCCAGGGGATTCCAGACAGAGGCTGCAGCATGAGTTCAAAGGCCCTGAGGCAAGTATTGTGCCTGGCATGTTCACGGAGGTGCAAGGCGGGTGAGGCTGGAGTGATGTATGCAACGGGAGAAGAGGGAGAGGTGAGGGCAGTGAGGCAGCAGAGGCCAAACCTTGGAGGCCACAGTTGGCCTTTGCTCCAAGTGGCCTTAGCGTCATGCTAGATTTCTCTATTTTCCAGATGTTAAATGACTGACCCAGAGCCACGCAGCGATGGGGCTCGGTTCCAGCCAGCCCTGCCTGAGGGTCAGAGTGGTGATCTCTGCACCCTGCCATCGCGTGTTCTCTCTGCAGACCAGTGTCCCGCCTGAGGGACGGCAGCAGGCGGGCCCTGTGGTCTCTGTCCAGATAGGCTGCAGCTGGGATGGGTTCTTGATGTGCAGGAGGTGACTTCACCACCGAGGAGAAAGCCAGCCTCACCGGGCACGTCCCCCTACACACACACCAGCCCCCCTCACCCCACAGACGCCGAGAGAGGCAGGCCAGGCCAGTCCTCCTCATGAGGGCGGAAACCGAGCTCAGGGTCTTGTCTGGGTTCACTCGGCCAGAAGCAGTCCTCTGCCTCCTGAGCCTTGTCAGAGCTGGAGCTGAAGGAGGCTAGAGGGCCCCAGGGGCCGAGGGCAGGGTGCCCTCAGACTCAGGAGTGAGAACCAGAAGGCCCGGTGTTGCCACGAAGTCACCAGGAGGCTTGGGACAAGTTATGTCCCCTCCCTGGGCCTCGGTTTCCCTTCCTGTGAAGTCAGGGCCTGGGACAAGACATGCACTCAGCGAGTCCTGATGGCACTTGAGCAGTGCTTTCCACTCTTAACCTTCCAGCGGGCCCAGGTCCAGGCCCCCACGGGAAAGAGGCCTGGAGGTGCCCACTGGGATGGCACCCCACAGCCAGGAGGGCGCGGCTGGGGTCAGCTTGCTGATGGAGCCAACCAGCCACAGGCGGGGGCAGGAGGTCAGCCCCACGCAGCTGCTGCACGGGCCCGACAGCACAGGCTCTCAGCGCCCCCTGGTGTCGGCCCAGGGAAGACACCCAGGCCAACCTCAGACGGCCACCACCAACCCCCCGTACTAAGAACCCACTCGACACCCCGTGTCTAGAACCTGGGGCAAAGCAGGAGCCACAAGGCCTGCGTTCTGCCCCCAACTACACAGGCTGCCCAGCCAACATTCCGGGGGCCCTGGACCAGCTGTCACACTCACTGTGTGACCCTGGGCAAGTCACTGTCCCTGTCTGGGCCTCAGTTTCATCAACTGTTAAATAAGGCAGAGATGGATGAGAGGATGTCAGGTCCATTGAGGGGCCCTCAGAACAGGGATGTTTCCACGCTATGCCAGTTGGAAGCCGGGTGTTGGGGGGGCAGCTCACCGATATCTTGGTGAAGACAGACAACAGCAGGGACAGAACAGACAGGTACATGCGTATCCGCTGGCCTCCGAAGCGCTTCTGGATGTATTCAGGCATGGTGACGATCTGGGGGAGGCATGGGGGGCAGGGGTAAGCACGGCCCCGAGACCACGCCCAGTGTTCAGGGCCAGGAGATTCTCACGGGCTATGCCCAGGCCCACTTACTGGGGACAGCCCAGCACCAGGCCCCGAACTCCAGGCGAAGGGTTCTGACCGTATCCTAAGGGTGTTAGGCAGGGGAGTTGCGGGCTGACATTGGCTCTTCAGGGCTGATATGAGGAATGGATTGGAGGGGCCATGGCTGGGGACAGCAGGACAAGTCTGGAGGCTATTATGATGCATCCAGATGAGCTGTGACAGGCTGGATGGGGAAGGTGGTGGTGAGGGGCAGAGCAGGGGACAGACAGAGAGAAATGCAGGAAATGGAATCCACTGGACTTAGTGATTGCCCCGCTGGGGCTAAAGGAGTGGGCAGAGTCAAGTGCTGCCCAGGTGTGCCGCCTGTTGACCCAGGTAGAGAGAGCATCATGCCCAAGATGCCACGCGCAGGGACAGTAGAAAGCAGCAGACAAGGCACCCGAGCTGAGTCCTAGGGACCTGCCTTCGTGGGCTGACAGGAACGTCAGTGGGACTAATAACAAACGCAGCCCTGTGAGTTCACCAGCTTGTGAGCCAGGGGCTCCTGCCCATCACCACCACCAACTCACACCAAGGCCCAGACCCAGGAGAGGCCGGCCTGAGGGCCCAGGAGCAGACTCACCTCCGAGGAGATGTAGATAGGCACGAACACCCACGCCAGGGCCAGCAGCACGTATGTGGCCTGAGGGGGACAGAGGCAGGGTGAGGACAGTGGGCACAGCTTCCACAGGCCCTGCTCCAGACACAGCTGGGACCAGCAGTCTGGAGGCCAGACTTGCTATGAGAACCTGGGGCGACCCCTTGCCCTCCCTGTGCCTCTGTAAACAGATGGCCCGGGCCAAGGCCAGCAGCTCCCTTCCCGCTGCTCTATCCGGTGTGTTGGCATTCGGAAGACCAGACTTCACCAAGAACACTGCCGCATAGAGCCCGTCTGGACACTGGCTGACTTGAGCTGCAAGGAAGTGCCCTGGTGGCCATGGTGGGGTGGACTCCAGTGGAGTCCCCGTCCTAGGCCTTACAAGGTTGGCACGCCCTCCCACAGCCTGCACGTCCCCCCGAGAGCTCACATTCCACTCGAAGCCCGCCACAGCCAGGCCTCCAGCCGCACCCGAGCCTGCCAGTCCGATGAAGAGGCCCGCACCCTCGCTGCTGGCGAAGAGCGAGGCTCCGATCTGGAGGGGAGAGAGGACGAGGAATCAGCTGCAGGTCACCCAGACTCCACAGCCCCTGTACTTTACACAGTTCCGGCACCCATCCCTACACCCCAGCTCGGGGACCCCTGCCAGCCTCAGCCTGCCCCATCACCACCGGCTCGAGCCCGCCTGGGCCGTGGCCTTGGGGAGGAAGACACGCGGAGTGACCACCCGAGGGGTGCAGCTGCTGGCTGACCTAGAGGTCCGAGGCAGCCCGAAGGAGGGGTGGGAGGGAGGAGTCAGGGGACACTCACCGGCCACCATGACATGTCCCGGCCCGCCAGGAAGTAGCCGCTCACTGTGTTCCTGCTGGCCCGACACGAGGACTGCAAGACAGAGGCAGAGATTGGGACCCTGTGCATTGCTGGAGGGAACGTAAGATGGTGCTGCTGCTGTGGAAAGCAGCCTGGGGCTCCTCAAAGAGTCAAACATAAAATTACCCTACGGCCCAGCAATTCCACTCCTAAGCGTATGTCTAAGAGAACTAAAAACAGACATTCAGACAAAACTTGTACATGAGTGTTCATAGCAGCACTGTTCACCACACACAAAAAGTGGAAACAACCCAAATGTCCGTCGACCGATGAATGGGTAAACAAACTCTGGTCTATCCGTGCAGTGGACTCTCACTCAACCATGAATGGGAATGAAGCCCTGATACACGCTGCTGTACGGGTGACCCTGGAAAACGTCTGCTAAGTGAAAGGGGTCAGACACAGAAGGCCACCCATGGAATGATCCCATTTATATGAATGTGCCCAGTAGGCAAGTCCACAGAGACAGAAGTAGACTAGTGGGGAGTGTCTACTCCCCACTCCCCCAGGGGCTGTGGGGAGGGGGCCGTGGGGAGTGACTGTGAATAGTGTGAAAAGAGATCAAGGAAACCTGTTTACAATGGCGTGGGGAAGCCCCGCTGGGAGCTCTCACACGGGCAGCCCTCTGTGCAGCCGTGCAGCCAGCAGGAGGGAGGAAGGTAAGAATTATTTTGATAAGGGAGAATATTAATCACATGGGAATTCTGTCTCCTGTTTTTAAGAAAAAGAAGGGAGGGCCGGCCCGGTGGCGCAAGTGGTTAAGTGCGCGTGCTCTGCTGCGGCAGCTCGGGGTTCGCCGGTTCGGATCCCGGGTGCGCACCGACACACTGCTGGGCAAGCCATGCTGTGGCGGCGTCCCATATAAAATGGAGGAAGATGGGCACGGATGTTAGCTCAGGGCCAGTCTTCCTCAGCAAAAAAAAGACGAGGAGTGGCAGATGTTAGCACAGGGCTGATCTCCTCCCAAAAAATAAAAAAAGAAAAAGAAAGGAGATCCCTCCCCGCCCCAGCGACAGCGCGCTGACCATGGCTTGTGGCCAGTGAGAACCTCGAGCTCTGGTCCTCCAGTGAATTTTTGTCCAAAACAGTCCTCCCCAATTTTCTCCTACAACCCAGTAAAACCTGACCTTCCCTTTGTCTCCTGGGATTTGCCTGTGTTTCACTGCAACTTGCATGTCCCCAATTGCAGTCGCTCTGTCGTTCCTGAATAAACCCATTTTGCTGGAAAAATAACCAGCTGTTTTATTTTTAGCGTCGACAACAGGTATGGGGTTTCCTTTTGGGGTGAGGAAAATGTTTTGGAACTAGATAGAGGTAACGGTTGCACAACACTGTGAATGTCCTAAATGCCACTGAATCGTACACTTTAAAATGGTTAAAACGGTGAGTTTCGTGTTGGGTGACTATGACTCAATTTAAGAAAAGGAACAGAGGCAGCCGTCTTCCCATCACAGCCCGCCACCCCAGCCCCTGGGCCCAGCGGTCAGCGTCTCCCGGGCTTCACTCGCTTCCAGCTTGTTCTGGACCGTCGCCCACGCTCCCCCGGGAAGAGCCCTTGGCCTGGGGATGGATGGACACAGACACAACAGGGAACAGTGACCGTGACCACCACCGACGGGCGCCCTTGGCTACAGCGCCACCTGCTGGCCGAGCCGGGCTCCTCCACGCTTCTGGTCCCAGGCCACCAACCCACCTCTGGGGAAGGGCTGGCCCTGAAGGTCAAGTCTACGCTTTGACCTCCCGGAGCCCGTTCCGCAGGGAGCAGCTGAGCCAGGGCTCCTTTTGCGCCTGTTGATGAGGACTCTGTGCCAACGCGTCTGAGAGCCCTGTGGCCTTGACTTCTAATATTTATATTTCTGATACGTTTTAAAACATCACTCGAATATTCCTGCATGCCTTTTTTGGGGGAAGGGACTGTAGAATTTTGGGCTCCATGTGTATGGAATAAAAATTCTGAAATCAGAATGTCTGGGAGCAAATCCTGCTCCTCCTGGCCATGTGACCGTGGGCAGGGTACTTAACCAACGTGCCTCAGTCTCCTCTTCTGTAACTGGGCCTAATAAAATTTCTTCCCTTGGGCCGGCACCGTGGCTTAGCGGTTAAGTGCGCGCGCTCCACTGCTGGCGGCCCGGGTTCAGATCCCGGGCGCGCACCGACATACCGCTTCTCCAGCCATGCTGAGGCCGCGTCCCACATACAGCAACTAGAAGGATGTGCAACTATGACATACAA